AACTCTCAGGAGGGGAGGGGTTGGGGGGGGGCGGATTAAATTTTCTGGGTTAGTGGTGCGGTCACGGATAAAAGTATATATTTGCTATTTAAATTATTTTTCGTTCGGAGGGAGGGGTGTAGATGTGCAACCCCCCCCCCCCCCACAGAGGTGCCTGAAAGAAACACTAGCACTCGTAGGACCTACCTCTCTAACGCACTGCTTTAAATGGTTTGGAGTAAAGTAAAAAAAAATGAATACATATGCCCCGAAAAGACAAAGGATATAGGCTCCCATGTTTGGTTTCACACACATTTTTCAGGGTACCTTCATTAGAAAAAGTACGTTATGTTTTTTTTACCCGATGAATCTTGTACCGTACCTTTATTAGATGAAGTACGTCGTGTTTAATTATCCCATGAATCTTGTACCGTACCTTTATTAGATGAAGTACGGTCTGGCAGTTACCGGCAACTCTTCCACCCGGAACAGCTGGTCACCGGAAAGGAGGATGCCGCCAACAACTACGCCAGGGGCCACTACACCATCGGCAAGGGCATCGTGGACCTGGTGCTGGACCGGATCAGAAAGTTGGCTGACCAGTGCACCGGCCTGCAGGGGTTTCTGATATTCCACTCGTTTGGGGGCGGGACGGGGTCAGGGTTCACCTCCCTGTTGATGGAGAGGCTCAGTGTTGACTACGGCAAGAAGTCCAAGCTTGAGTTCTCCATCTACCCGGCTCCTCAGGTAAATATTTACGTTTCTTTTCACACAAATACTAATGTAGCTTTCGCAATTTTCGGCAGTTTTTTTCCCCAATTATTACATTGATTCGCATCTTTTAGCAATAGCTGTGTTTGCTTTGTTAAAGCTATAGTTCTGGAGGAGCAGTAAAAATTTTTTTAAAAAGGTTTTACCGCTGTTGGTGTTTGTTCAATCATCATCATCATTGCCAAGCACAACTGCTGGGGTATGGGTCGCCAACCAAAGATCTCCAGAGTGTAGGTTCAAAGGTTCATGTAAAAAAAAGTCTGTATCTTGCAGGTATCCACCGCCGTTGTTGAGCCGTACAACTCCATCCTCACCACCCACACCACCCTGGAACACTCCGACTGCGCCTTCATGGTCGACAACGAGGCCATCTACGACATCTGCCGGCGTAACCTTGACATTGAGCGTCCGACCTACACCAACCTGAACCGACTGATCGGCCAGATCGTGTCCTCGATCACCGCCTCCCTCAGGTTTGACGGCGCCCTCAACGTGGATCTGACGGAGTTCCAGACCAACTTGGTGCCCTACCCGCGCATACACTTCCCCCTGGCCACATACGCCCCGGTCATTTCAGCGGAGAAGGTGAGTAGGTTGGTTATGCAGGTGGGTAGTTTGGTTATACAGGTGGGTAGTTTGGTTATACAGGTGGGTAGTTTGGTTATACAGGTGGGTAGTTTGGTTATACAGGTGGGTAGTTTGGTTATACAGGTGGGTAGTTTGGTTATACAGGTGGGTAGTTTGTTATACAGGTGGGTAGTTTGGTTATACAGATGAGAAGGCCTACTAAGAGCGTGTCGTCGCTAATGGACAACCCTGGTTATAACTGTATCTTGTCAAAATGCTAGAGATAATCAGATTCTTGTTAAAGTATTCGTGCCAAAATATTGCTAAAGTAAACCAGATTCTTGAACTAACCTATCAGGCCTACCACGAGCAACTGACCGTTGCTGAGATCACCACCGCCTGCTTCGAGCCAGCCAATCAAATGGTCAAGTGTGATCCACGTCACGGCAAGTACATGGCCTGCTGCATGTTGTATCGTGGCGACGTAGTACCCAAAGATGTCAACGCTGCCATAGCAACCATTAAAACAAAGCGGAGCATCCAGTTTGTTGATTGGTGCCCAACCGGCTTTAAGGTGATGTATGCTTTAGTGTTACCAAAGAAACCAAAATTTAACATTAAAAAAAAACAACCTTGTCATACATCATCAATAATGTTCGAACCTCCCCACGTCATTAGGAGTGTGTCGTCGTTTATGGACAGCCCTAATCAGTTTGATCATATTGTAAGTTTTACGTTTACTTAACAACAAACAGGTGGGTATAAACTACCAGCCCCCCACTGCTGTGCCCGGGGGTGACCTGGCCAAGGTCCAGCGCGCGGTCTGCATGTTGAGCAACACCACCGCCATAGCTGAGGCCTGGGCTAGACTGGACCGCAAGTTTGATCTCATGTACGCTAAGAGAGCTTTCGTGCACTGGTAGGTTCCTTTTTCACTTACCTTTGTTTTTATGCTCATTTTATATTGATTAAATCATGGGCATGTTCGTTAACAAGGCCCACAATTTTAGTTGTATTTTAGTTATTCATGGATTACCTCCCCTAGAAAGACAAGCCAGTTCTCCCCCTTCATATAAAAAATACTGATGGGGCGACACTACAAAGAAAAGCAAATATTTTCTTGGTAGAACAAAAAACAGGCTACTGTGTAACTTCCAAAGTGATACATTTTTTTCACTTAGCCTCTTTGTAAAATTTTACATTCAAATTATTTTCTTAGTACAAAAAGTCTAACCTTAATCACAAGAAAACCAGTTTACACTCATTAAGATCATAAAGAGATGTTTACTGGGTGTACAACAAGAATAACTTAAAATGATGCTATATTAACAGGGTGTCTATTGTTTGACAGGTATGTGGGGGAAGGGATGGAGGAGGGTGAGTTTTCTGAAGCTCGCGAGGACTTGGCTGCGTTAGAAAAAGACTATGAAGAAGTTGGAGTGGACTCAGCTGACCAGGCCGGTGGGGAAGATGAGGCAGAAGAATATTGATACAGTCAGGAGAATATTGATAGTCAGGAGCTTTAAGATGTCTAAATGTTCCAGCACTCAAGATGCCTAAATATGCCACATTTCAACATGCCTAAATATGCCACAACTCATGAGGCCTCATATTTCACATTTTAAAATGCCTAATTTTGATGATGTTAAAAGAAACCCTGTCTCAAGATTTCTAAATACAAATTAGTTTGTAGCTTTTTGGCGTGCTTATTTGCAATGTTGCAAATGATGAATATGAGAAATTGACAATGTGTTCAATTGTAGTCATTTAAATTCCTATTACAGCGGACTACCTCTGGTGATGGTATTGCTCATTGATCTTAGAAAAAAACAAAAACATGAAGGATACAGTTATTTACACTTTAATGAAACAAATCACAAGTTTAAACAGAGTTAACTGACTTTAGCAGTGTATTGAAACACAGTTTTGTTTACATCCAGAATATGCATGTTTGACCTCAATGGCCGTAGATAGCTGCCTATTGGGGGGTAAAGGGTGATTTGGCTAAATTATAGTCCATTCACCAACTACTGAATCTGTAATTATGGATTTCACCCTCATTGAAGTCTGTTCTAAGGACTGGTCTAAATATTTCATTCACATTTCAACAAACTATTCCCGCATTATTTAAATAAAATATTTTGCTTGCAACATGTACATTATTTTACCTAACAGAATCCTGTTAATAGATTCTTTTAATGTAATGCTTGAACGAGATTTATTTTGCAATAAATTTTCAAAAAGAAAACTGACTTTTTTTTTACATAAGCAGTATATGTGGTGTTGGTTGTGTGGGTATCAATAAAACAATGATGTAGTGCTAGAAGTCAACAAAATGAAATGCAACATTAGTAAAAAAAATATTTTACAAATAAAAAAAAATTCTCTTCAAGTTCTGACAATAAAAAGAAATTCATCTGTTTATCCATACTTGGTATACGATAGGATTAGGTGGTCAGGACTCCAGCCCTGGAGTTAAACTCATGAGCAGTGGTGCTCTTCATCTACTTACCGAACAACTCCATTAATTGCAGGGATACATGTGCAGAATAAAATGGCATCGTCTATGTACAATTTAAGGTACAATTCAAATATTCAACTAACTTTTGAATTATTGATTCTGCTAATTATTAATTTCAACCCCTTCACTAAACTAATCTTTCCCTTTGCTAATTTTAGTGTGAATTTAGCCAAGTAATACAATTAACTTGTATTTCAATTGATATTAAAAAAAGGTATTTGCAATAAATACAAAATAAAATCCCTAAATAAATTATTTTTTTCACAATCGGTTGTAAACCAATGAACAATGTAAATACATTTAAAGCAGATTCAAGATTAAAATCTAGATTGAAAGGTACCAATTATAAACATGCATTATATTACACTAATAAATGATAAGATCTAATTATGACAATACCATTTTAGTGCATATTTACAATGCTACAGCATCTTGTACATCTTTCTTCAAACAATTCAAAAGTTGAAACAGCTAAAAACAAAGTTTGGGCTTAAAGCAGATTCAAGTATTAGTTAAAATAGTTATAGATTAGAATAGGTGACAATGAAACTATAGTGTTACTATAGCTACAACTGAGTGTTGGCATTCACCTAAATACAAAATAAACTATAACATTAGTACACATCTGAGTTACAATAATAAAGATTTAAAACATGTATTTACACTGATTGGTTTGTGGATGTGTCAGATCCAGTGGTCAGCAGGCATGTAACAACCAAACTGTGATGGTCATCAAGATAATGGACAGCCCTGGAGTGGCCACCCACGCTGAATCTGTTTAAAAGTAAAAAATTCACAATTAATTCTAACAAATATTTTGAGTAGCTTCCCTTGCTATAGAAAATAAAAGAAAGGGGGACCATTATTTATAAATTAAAAGAGTCATATTTGAGCAATTTTGGACAGGATAAAAAAAACTAATATTGTTGAGAGTAAGTTTATAGTAAGCAACACTCTTAAATACATGTTGATTAAACAAAGCTTGACCACCATGAAAAAAAAAAAGAATGAAAAGACGGTATAAAATAGACTTACTGCAGTCCTTATCACTGTCTTTGTAATTCCTCAGTTCGTTATCCTTGTGGATTTGAGTCAAGGGTTCGCACTGTGCATTTGTAAGGCATTTGAGCAGAACGGAATGGATTCTTTGGAAAACAGAAGTTTGGTTGTTGCAATCTCACATGCATAGTGTAATGTCACATGTTGCGATGTCACATATTGTTGGAATGTCACATGTTGCAATGCCATATTTTAGTGCAATGGCATGTATTGTTGCAATATCACATGTTTAGTGCAATGTCATACATCACAATGTCAATTATTATCATAATGTCACACATTTCATTTTTCATTTCATTTATAATAGATAAATGCATGCAAGTAATGGAGTCTTATAATAATCATCTTATATGTCTTATATGTTCATCATTATAAGACTCCATTACTTGCATGCATTTATCTATTATAAATGAAATGAAAAATATTTCTGCAACTTATCAGATCTGAGTATTTGTGTAATGCTTAGCGAAGAAAAAGGGATTTTGCATGGAATATTTACCTGCTGCTGTATGCCACTAGGGTTGGAGGTTGGACTAAAGACAGACTTGGCTAACCAAACCTTTGCTTACCTTAATCTCCACTTGGCCCACACCATGGGAACCTTCCCACCACTCACCGAACAGCCACTGATACATGAAATACATGCAGTACTCACTGTTATAGCCACTGAACATACCTGCAGTACTCACTGTTATAGCCACTGACCCCAGAACAAATCCGTAGTACTCACTGTTATAGACTGACATACCTGCAGTACTCACTGTTATAGACTGACATACCTGCAGTACTCGCCAATATCGTGCCCCACGTATTTCACAGTGGACGTGAACTCCTCTATGCAAGCTACCACACTCGGGCACGTCGGGGCTACCACGTCACCACATAACGTCAGGAGCACTACACAAATAGGATGAAAATGTATCACATAACGTCAGGAGCACTACACAAATAGGATGAAAATGTATCACATAACGTCAGGAGCACTACACAAATAGGATGAAAATGTATCACATAACGTCAGGAGCACTACACAAATAGGATGAAAATGTATCACATAACGTCAGCAGCACTACACAAATAGGATGAAATGTATCACATAACGTCAGCAGCACTACACAAATAGGATGAAAATGTATCACATAACGTCAGGAGCACTACACAAATAGGATGAAAATGTATCACATAACGTCAGCAGCACTACACAAATAGGATGAAAATGTATCACATAACGTCAGCAGCACTACACAAATAGGATGAAAATGTATCACATAACGTCAGGAGCACTACACAAATAGGATGAAAATGTATCACATAACGTCAGGAGCACTACACAAATAGGATGAAAATGTATCACATAACGTCAGGAGCACTACACAAATAGGATGAAAATGTATCACATAACGTCAGGAGCACTACACAAATAGGATGAAAATGTATTAAGTTAAAAAACTAAAATTTGTAGAAACCCTTTTTAAACGTTAATCTATTAACGAGCGAAGTGTTAGCGATGCAGCCCAATACGCGCTAGATATGTTTAAACCAGGTCACCACATAACGTCAGAAATACTACAAAAGTGAGATGAAAACGTATCAACTACAATGTCATGGAAAACCTTAAACATTCACCCATTCAACCGGTGCCGAGACTGTGGGTGTTACACCCCCCCCCCCTTTCTGTAACAATTTACTGGATGGAACATTGTTTGGACACCAAATTTTACGATTTTTCAATTTTTCACTCGGTGAGTACCGCACTCAGCGCCCCCCCCCCCCCCGCCTTGTGACGGAGCTGTATTCCCCCCCCCCCCCCCCCTCTACAAATCCAATCAAATCGGCCTGCAGCAAGTTCGTTTCAATCACGAACACGTCATTCAGTTGAACTGAATAAGTGATGGCAGCTTTCCAATTTTTGCGTTGATTTTGTCCAGTGTTATTTATTTCTTTTAGACATGTTTCTCTGGGGGTGGGGGTGATAGAGACACTGATTAAAGCATATATTTTCAACATACATTACAAATATTACGATTTTGTCAGCGAGGGAGGGGGGGGGGGTAGGTACGCCTGTAGTGATACCTGAAAGAAACGTATTGCTGGCTAGGGGATAACGCGTGTACAAACGACCTCCCCCTCCACTTAAGCCCATCCGATGTAACTTTACAACAAGAACTACAATGGTCAAACTTTCAAAAACAAAACAAGATGGTGACGAGGACAAAGTCATACAAATTATAAACATCCATCAAGCACTTTTTTCTTACGCTGTAATTTAAAAAAAAAAACAACAAAAAAAACGACCTATTGCAATTAATTTGTGGAGGTATTAAGAACAAACAGTAGCCCAATAAAGAAAGAAAAACAGATGAAATGAATATTCCCAAAAGACAGAGGATCGGACAAAAAGGATTTGTACAACGGAAATACGACCCGGTACTCAGGTAGATAAAAGGTAATCAGGAACAGGCACGCTAGTCTTTGCAACCGTCAAACAAGGTAACAGTGGGTGTATAGGTACACAGTACATTAGGTCGACATCGCCCTGACGACCTCATTAGCTTCAGGTATTCATTAGTCAAGGGAACGATGCACTATAAGACTAGTTACACTAGAGGCTATACAGTATGAATACACTACAGTGACGTAGGTAGGAATGTGTCATGGGGGGGGGGTGCAGTTTATCTCCTGCCGTGATATTTAAAGTGTTAAAATTGAAAGCGTAAAACGATACGAGCACAGCGACGTCTGTGACGTGACGTTATACCACTTTATTTGATGGGGGGGGGGGGGGTGTCAATCTCAAGGTTCTAACCCCTGCCTACGACACTTGAAATGTGTGTTTATACATAGCTTAAAAAAACGTAGAGCCTGTTCAAAAAGAAAGCTTAAGTTGACACAAGGATGTTGCTATTTGATGGGTATGAACTAGCCAGTCAGCCGTGGATTCAATCCGACGACTAACATCGTGAGTGGGGGGGGGGAGTGTAAGTCACACATCATAACAGCGAGATAGCGAGAATTAGTTTGGTGAATGAGGATGTAATGGTGTTTATGCTAGAAGCGGTGTGACAGATTTTTACCTAATACCAATTGGAAGCTTACAGTTAATGTTATCTTAAAGCAGGGGTCTCCAAACTACGGCCCGCGGGCCGTATGCGGCCCGCGAGGTCCTCTCATCCGGCCCGCGGAGATCTTTTTGTCCACGGAAAAAACGTTTGTTGGTGATGGCTGAGGAACTTTGCCCAGAAAAATCAAAGACATGCCTGGAACTAACTGGCCCCCGAACTGAAAATTGATAGTTAATGCGGCCCTCGGGCTGAAAACTTTGGAGACCCCTGTCTTAAAGTATTAAATAACTGTTTTTTTTTCCATTAGAAAGACACAGTTCAAAATAAGACCGTAGTTTTTGCCTCGGAAAATCAATCATAAAAAAATACAACACCTTATATGCTGTCAGTGTGAAGTTGTGAGAAGTTTTTGGGAGCTCATGAAAGGGTTTAGTCTTGTTGCATTCATCAAAAGGTTTTGAGTTTTGTGAACGACTTGGCTCAATTGTGTTCTCCGCCCTATATCAAAGCGTGTATTCAATACAGAGCACAATGGTCGGGGATAAAAGGTGGTTTGTCAACTAGTGTAATACGTAGCTAAACCACATTTTAATGCCAACATTTTTATATACTTCAACTCCGGGGTCTTAGAAATCACCGCACGCTGATGTATCGTTCAATGACATTGTGGAAGCGTTCACATAACTTCACGTCATACTGTAGACGTGTTCACTTTACACTTTGATAGTGCACAGGGGACATAGTGTATTCCTAGATAACAGATGGCGTTCTTATCTTCTTTAAACATATGCAATATAATTAATCAGTGTCGGGTAGTAACAATCTAAATTTAGCTATAAATGACTTGTTACTTGTAAATTGTGGGTAGATTTAACATACAATAAAATCACCGCCTCAATGATTCGATACCAGTGCTTCTTCCAGACTTTTTTTTTCGTTCTGGGGGCGGTTGACTTTCTTCAGGGGGGTGGGGGCATGGAAGAAACTCTGTTCGATACTATCATCACCAAATGGTTCAGATTTCACGTTTAAAATTTTCAAACTTTATTTATTTCCTAGATCGTAATCGTTCGTGTTTTTTTTAATTGCACGAGGCATGACGGGAGTCATGTGACATCAGTGATGTCAGTAACTGTCGTAATAACAACGTAAAGCTTGACCAAGAGTAAAGCAAGTAAAAAAAAATCCCTTCATAATAATACACTTTAAAATAATAAAATAAAACAAACTTGCCCTCTTTAGCCCGGGACGCTAATGTGTACCCAGAGGCGTAGCGGGGGGGGGGGGGGGTGGTGCGGACCGCATCGGGTGACACCATTTAGGGGGTGACACAAAGGCAAAAAATAGCAAATTATATAGGGAAAAATTATGATAATTTCGCTTAATTGAATGATTAATTCGAGTGTTAAATAGTCTTGTAAGAGGTGCAAATCGAAAGTTTGAGGGGGGGTGTCAAATCGAAAGATTGATGGTGGGAGGGGGGGGGCTGCAAATCGAAAATTGAAAGTTTGTCCCCGGGAAGGGTCGCTACGCCTCTGGGGGTGACACCATTAAGTGCCGCGCCGGGTGACACCCGACCTCGCTACGCCACTGTGTGTACCCCCTCCCCACCTGATACGCATCTGAAGCAAGCGTATCCACATAAAAAGCAACACGGATTGCATGGATGCTCCTATAAACTATATTTTTCAAGCCCCGATAACGATTTTTTTTTGCCTAATAAACTATCTATTGAGTATTAAAATGTGTAGGCGTCAAGGTAGATAAGTTTGTGTTGTGTTATGTATTTTTTCGATGTATGAATGTGAGACTGAGCGGGTGAGGTTACATGCCCCTAAATTAGTTTTACTTTGTAATGTGCTCAATGTAAAGCAGGGCCTAGATAAATTGAGGTTTTTATTTTTCTGACTGCTTTTGTCGCCTCGTGTTGACAGGGACCCAGTGTGTCATGTCAGTGATAGTTTTGTTTTATTTACACAGCGCAAACAACAACATTCAAGTAGCAACAAGTGTACATTTGCCAGATAAACCTGCCAACTACGCAAGAAGTTGCCAGATAGCTCTTCCAGCTAGTATCAAGAGGTTGCCAGATAGCTCTGCCAGTTGACCAGTTATAACATGGCTTATTATTAAATTCAAGGAATCTATTATTAAAAAAACAACAACTACAAATGACTAAAATGTATGAATCATTTCAACGATATGCCCTAATTAGAAATCCTAATTTCTATCCTAAGGTCACGAAAGGTGAAGCAACTTAAAACGCAGTTTTTAAATATATGCAGCACTGGAATAACTAATCTCGAATGGCTATGCAGATGGTACGTTCTAAGACCTGAACAACACACGGGGTAAAACGTTAAGTGCCAGCAAGTGCCTGGCATAGGGCAGCATGTTTAAGACGTTGTTTATGTCGAGTCACGGTCTTTAGAAAACATGTTGCATTATTTATGGCTCTCCCCTGTTCACTGGGCTATAAATGTACAATAAAACTTCTGTTATTAACAGAGGGAAAATGTAAAAAAAATATTAAAAGTCAACTTAATTAAATGACGTCATTAACCTGAAAATGGATCACCGAAATAGTGACCGCGTGTGCCAAACAAAACATCAAAACATAATTACATGTATACACAACCAGTGTTTCTTCCAGACTTTTTTCTCCGGGGGGGGGTAGACTTTCTTCAGGGGGAGGCGGACACTGTTAAAAGTATATATTTTCTATATAAATTATATAAATTTCATTTCGTTCGGGGGGGGGGGCGGTAAGATGCCTGGAAGAAACTCTGTACACAACGCTATAAATAGCTTTACTAATCAATATAAACACTATGTCAAGGTGAAGAGTTCTAGCCACACTTGTCCCAGCTGACGAGTCTCATATATCCGGGGGTCTGAACTTATGGGTTCATGCCATCTTCCAGACTTTTTCTTCGCGGGGGGGGGCGGGGGGGGGGGGGCGGACACTAGTAAAATTATGTTTTCTATATAAATTCCATTCCATTTCGTTCGAGGAGCGGTAGATTCCCCGAAGAGATGCCTGGAAGAAACACTGTCTCCTGCTCAACTATTCCGCAGAGGCGTAGCTAGGGGAGGATGGGTGGCGCGGCCACCGACCGTAAGGGGGCGCTAAACGAGGTAAACTATATTTTAAAAAAAACTCTTTTAGAGTCGCATTACTGAATGATACACAGTCGAAGTTTTTAAAAAAAATAGACTACTGTTCGGCTCTCCCTACTAATTTGTTTTCAATATAGTGACATAATAACTGTTAAGGGATAGCGTCTAAAAGGTAGGGGGGGGGGGGGTTGGTGGTGGCTTAAATTTGATAGTTCGCACCTGGCTGGAATGAGTCACTACGCCTCTGCTATGCCGTTTCCTCGTGGTCACAACCAGAGGCGTAGCGAGGGGGGGGGGGGCGGGGGTGTGGAACGCACCGGGTGACACCATTTAGGGGGGGTGACACCAAGGCAAAAATAGCAAAATATATAGAGAAAAATTTGAGGGGGGGAGCAAATCGAAAATTTGTTCCCGGGACTGGTCGCTACGTCTCTGGGGGGGGGGGGGGGGGGGACACCATAAGTGCCGCACCGGGTGACACCCGATCTCGCTACGCCACTGGTCACAACTTATCCTATCGAACTGCATTGGTGATAATATTCTAGCGGCTGAACTTGTTTTTCCACTTTAAGCCTAGTGCAAGAAACGTAGACTACTTATAGACCAGATTTAGATAACTGGACACCTAGAATGTTTACATTTTTTATTGAATTACTAGAGTCTAGCCCACGGGTTCCCAACCTGGGGGTCGCGACCCCCAGGGGGGTCGCGAAGGGCTTTCTGGGGGGTCGCCAACTGGTATACTAAACCTTAGTAATTTGAAACAAAACATAAATATTTAGAAGAATTTTTGAAATTCGGTTTTACTAACATCACTGGAAAGGGAATAGAGAAGAAACAAAGCGCACTGTACAAAGTTGTTCTCAGTCACGAGTTTATGAAATCTTCAAAACTAAAACGTCATTTGAGACGAGTCATTAGAAACACACCAAAAAAAGATATGGAGTTCTTTCGTCGGTATGAGTTGAAGCTAGTTGCAAACGTCAGAGACTTGATCGAACAGGAAGTTTGTACCAAGGAAACACAGTATTAGTGCAAGCATCACATGAAGTCGCGACAGAAAATGCCGAGCAAAAAAAAAAACACAATAGGAGAAAATCTCATCAAACCCTGCATGTTGAAGATGGTGAAGTTAATTCTTACATGTCCGTAGAATCTAGCCAATATAAACATTAATTAAATTATAAATATTATAAACGTAGGTTACTTACCAATCAGAGCTGGAAATAGGAATACGTCCTTAGCATGCATTGTTAGAGAAGGATTTAAAAGTTTATATGTGATTTGTGCATGCAGCTTGGAAGAAAAACATTGTGTGATGTTAAATCTTGAGTTTAAATTAAATATCCCTCTCTGTGTTCAGGTCATGCTGTAATCACACATAACACACGATGACGTAGTCGAGTGACGCCAAGGCCATCCACGCCTAACCATAAACTCGTTGATCGACGCCCTGTGGATCGAAGAGATTATTGACCTATATGTCAACACAGCTTACCACGGAGTATGTCATATACTATATCATGTTAACATTCAGTTAAGCCCCCACTTACTAATATCAGTGACACGGATTTATATTTCTCATTAATTAGGTTAGACTACTATTTAAAAAGAGTAGAAAATTATTCCATCGAACATAGACTAGACTATAATTATGCAGAAAATAGTAATTAAATTTTCCACCCTGAAAAAAAAATTAAATAGCAGCATATTATGATAAGCGTCGAATGGGTCGTCCATAAAGACGTCATGCTATTAGGAGGAGGGGTTCGTAATTTTTGTGACCGTGATAAGTAGTTTCAGGGTTAGGCTGAGTGTGACGTCATGTGGGGGGGGGGGGGGGGGGTTGGCTTTTTGTGACGATGTGTGACTGTAGGGAGGTAAAAAAGTGACGTCATTAGTGGATGACCCCAAAGTTCGTCTAACACATCTAACTTGAAGCGTTTGAAAGCTTACACGTAAGGAAAAAAAAGATGAGCTACATAAAAAAAAGATAAATGCACCAGGTTTATCAACATCATTTTTTTTTTAAATTTGATGCTAGATCTATATTACTAGATCTATATTTTTAAGACTGATCATAGTAGGCTAACTTTTAATTTTTGGACTCCATTAAGAAAATACTGTGAAAAAAACAACGTGAAGGTGGTCTACGAGACTAGATCATTTATTTAGTAGGCTATATCGACAACATTTAGAATGTATACAAATTAATTGAAGATTTCCTCTGTCTGTGCCTATCCAACTCTAACCATTGAACCTTTTAAACAGTTCTTTTGTGAAACTTTTGAAAGAACCCGGCTCAAATAATGAAGTTACTCCAGTAGTAGAATCTAGATCCAGCTTGTATTTATTGAAGTTGTGACTTCTTACTCTAAGGCAAGGTTATTGATCTAGTCTAAATCTATAATAAAACGTTCGAATTAGTCTACACTTGTGCAAATTTTAACAATATTTCAACCATGAATAAAACATACACGCTCTTTACTGAACAAAAGATCCTATCATCGGTTGTTTACAAACTTTCACTACGTGACCATGAAGACCAGCATTCAGGAAGCTACACGCTGAAGGAAATAGGGTCACATCAACATGGTGAGGCGAGGTGGTACACACCAGTGCCGCATCGCCTGCTTGGCCCTATCCCATAAGGACGCCAGGTAGGGGCCGTGTGACACTGGTCGCCAGTCGAGCGCGACGCGCAGCTTGCTCGTGGGCTTTTTTTGTGCAGTAGTAAACTTGGTGCTTTCCCGCCAATAATGATTTTTATTTTAGAAAGCCCTCCAAATCGAAATCAATACAGAATTCAAAGTTTATTGCATGCCGTATTGACCTAAGTTTGTTTGGTATATTTTTTAAAAGAGGAAATCGGTAGCAAAATCATCAACATAGTTTTTTTTTTTTAAAACTAAAAATGAAACTCCGTTTTTATACCCCTTGAGGGGTCATCCAAAAACTACTTTAAAACGATTAGTATTCCCCCCCCCCCGCACATCGTAATACATTATCAATGTTTTTATTTTAACAAAAACACTTATTTTGAATATAAATAGTAGCTAACATACCGGTGTTACTCTCTTGTCACTCTCTTGTAGGAAATCGCATAATGTTAAAGACAATCACTCGCGCTACATTTCCGTTGCATGTAACTGGTGTGCCATTCATTCACTCCTTTTGTCGCGACTGTTTTGACAAGGTTTTGTCGACAGTACACATGAGACATCTTGACAATACTTTGCATCTTTTGCCTTTATTTCATCATAAATAATTTAATCGATTGATTCCTATGCAGAAATTAGACCTAAAACAATTTGTTTTTTGTTACATCACTTTCTCACCTCTTTAAAACCGGTCAACGGGAAAAAAAATTCACAGGAAAGCAAAACTCATTAAAATAAGTCACAGTTTTTGCTAGGAAAATAGTCACATAAAAGAATCACAAAAGCAAAAGTGTATCGGAAAAAAGTCCCAAATGTATATTAAGAAACATTTTGATTTACGTACTCAAAATGGTAAAATTGTGGGTGTTTATAAATATGGGTGGTGGTCATTAGTAACATATATTTATAAATTGTACTGGCATGATGGTTTTGATCTTCACAATGAGTAAACGTAACATAAAAAGATAATTTACACAGCAACCTCAAATTTTGTTACATATTTATTTAAACACCTGGTAGAAAAATTAATTATAAAAGAATTGTAGGCACATAGTTGCGTTTTGTGTGTGCATGTGCATGTGTTTTGCCGTAGGCCTTTCCTCTGTCGGCCTTTTCCGTGCACAATGTGTATTGTTCGCATTTTAGTTAAACGTATACTTTTTGGCTTGATCCAATGCTTTGTGATGTAATGAGGGCGATAAATGTGGGCAATAAAGGTGTATGAAAACAGAGTAGGTTGGAACATTCTACTTAATTCTATTCTATAACGAAATGAAAACCTACATACTTCAGACTAAATATTTGTACGTGTTTTACCATTCAAATAAACATACAAGCACATATATCTAAAATGTTTTCATGGCATTTGTTTAATTTTATGCTGATTTGCACTTTCTGAAAACATTTAAGTGTTAACGAATTCCTTGCAAATACACATCTGTGACTTTATTTCCTGCGACTTAAAAAACAAGTTAATTAAAAAGTCTAGTGACATTTAAGCGCAATTTCCTTATGTTATCTAAAAATAGCTCTGTCGTAGCGTAAATCAAGAGCAGGGTTGGTAAAACCATTGGTTAGTTATTAAAACGTTTTTTATTAATTTTTTTTTCAGTATTTTACATGTTTTATTTACAATAGAGTTACATGACTAAAAACCATTGCGCGCCTACTGAACGTGATGACGCAGCCATTGAACGTGATGGCGCAGCTATTGAACGTGATGACGCTTGTGGTGTGGTTGGATAAATATGCCTTCTAATTCGGTCCAAATTTTAATTAGTTAAAAAAAAATGTGTGTTACCGAACGAAAGGATATTTTTGAAAACTTTCTTCGGCAATATTGTTCTAAATTATGGCAGGAATCGATTGGTACATGTTTCAAGTCGCTAAGTGGTCTGGTTTCCGAGAAATGGGCCAAAAACTGCTTTTTTCGAGGTTTTTTTTGGCTTTTCCGGGAAATCCATGAAAGAAATCCGGAATTTTTTTGGCCTATGTTCATCCTCGTAACTTGCTTAACATAATTGCTTTTGGAACTAGTCATCGATATTGCTTCGTTGAGGAGGAGATACGACTTAAAGCTGCGGACACACATCCATCCATCCATCCATTCATTCATACATTCATACATCCAGAAATGACGGGTTAATAAACGCAATTCTCCAGAATGGAAATTGCGCTAAAAATCATGTGCGATCGTGTTATAAATTATGACATAGCAGTAAAAACTAAAGGCGGAAGGGATACAAATTAGGCAGAGTTAAAAATTACCAATAAGTAAATCATCTGATTTTAAAAGAATAGGGCCCCCCCGGACTGCTGCTCCCCCCCCCCCCCCCCCAATCCGCCACAGGTAGACTTGTATTCAGGCCTTTAGTTAGTTGTAAAGTTTACAAGCTTTCATCAGGCATTCAAACCAGCTAGATTAGAATTGTCTTTTTCTTATTTCCATACATACATACAGTTTTAAATTTTTTTTAAAATCAACGTTTTTGTATTTATATTATCACTTTTTTGAGCATATCTTGGTATTGTTTATGTTCTTTTCTGTTTTATACTAGATTTAGAAAATTAGACAACCGGAAGTACTGCTGTTTTAGTCTTTAAAAAAGTAGAACGACCAAAATACGAAAATAGTATAATTACAGTGGCAAACAAAAGCAATCGTTTACTTTTTATTTAGAAATCTAGATCTTTCTACCTTTAGATTAGATTTTTAAGTGCTGATACAATTCAAGGTAAGAATATAAATCGTCTGCTTTATACTTTATAGTTAGAGCTAGTTTAAAGTTTAGGCTAAAAATTAGACATTTGTGACTTGATTGACTGAAACTCTGAAACTGAAGCAGAGAAGTGGAGAGAAGCAGTGGTGAGAGTGAAAATTGAAGAAACTCAGGGTCTCAGTTGTTGTTAGTTGTTAGTTTGTGTGAACTTAAAAAACTTTCAATTTGCTTGAGAGTGGGGGGGGGGGGAAGAGAAGAGAGAAGTGAAGACACAGACGATCTCATGAACTTGTGTTCATTCTAAATCTAAATTCTAATTTATGACGTTAGGCCTGCTGAACTCTGTGTCACAGTGACCCCGCCGACCGTGGGTCGTGGTGGGATTTATCTCACCCACGGGATAGTAAACATAAGCAAGCAATCACGCCAATGACGATGTTTGGAAATTTTATTTAAAAAAAAAGAATAACTCGTCATGTTTTCAATATGAAAAAATAAAATGTAAAAAAGAAACCAGTATTAGTTGTGCTAACCCCGGGTTGGAACTCCGAGCCTCAGGTCTATGAACTACTATCTACAGCTGGCACACTGTTGACTCAACTACACCGGATGTGTTGGAAAAGGAAAAGTAAGCATTTTCAATCACAAGATGGCGATCCAACCTGTGAGACGCATAGTCACTTCGTTACGGGCCACGCTCTGCGAGATGCGTAGTCATTTCGAAAAAAAGTTGCCTCATTGTTAAAAGTAATGTTAAGGCTTTAATAGAATTATATTCATAATATTGTGATATATTTGTGTCAAATATTATAGATAACTGAATAATAAACCAAAATCAACGGCGAAATAGGCCTTTAGGCCAGAAATTAACTTTAAACGGCAGTGTTTGCGAGCAAAATTTGATATTTAAAGCAGCCATCTGTAAAATAGAGTGGCTTCCCCTGAATCTCCCACTTTATCTATATACTACTAAAAGTCAAGTTTGTTTACATGTTTGAATATTTATTTGTTTGCCTGATCGAAAATTGTGATATGTTCGACTCTATCTGGAAAGCTGTAAAATGGTATGCAGGTAGAGAATAATTTTTTAATGCAGACAGACTGTTGATCACAAATTTATTTAAAGACGTTAATTAATTAATTGATTTATTCATATGCAGATTAACCCATTTTTTTAAAAAAGATTTGAAAAGCCACTAGACTCGACGGAAACAGTGACGTCACATGATGTGTTTATTTTTTTACATCGATAATGGCGGCCTATCGAAGAAGATTGTGTTCCCATTCCAATGTTTAACGCGTTCTAAAGCTAATTTTCTGTCGGCTTTAACTTTAACAATACGTCCGTTTGCTGTATTTATTACGTTCCAACACTTATACCAATTTTCAACTGTCTTTTTCATTTAGTTTTACAATAAATTTCTCTAGATCTAAAGATCTGCTGTCGAAGGAAAGTTATGAATCTAGAATCTAGCCTAGGGCCTAGATCTAGATCTAGGTCACTAGACTCAATGTAAATTCTAGATCTAGATTAATGTAAATTCTACATCTAGAATCTATTTCGGGCCTTAATTATTTTATATAAATCTTTGTTTAGCTTCAATGATCATCTAATTCGAGAATACATGGGCTTTTTTTGTTATCTACGTTCTATATCTAGATAAAGTAGGATTACTCACTAGCTTGGAGGCGTGGTCGGCTGCTAACAACAATATGGCGTACGGACCGGACGCATGTCTGCCGATCATTTTTAGGCCATGTTTACCACGAACAAAATGGCGGGTGTTCACATTATTTAAACATTGTATAGGTGGCCAGGGCTAGATATGCCAGAAAAGCATTTTAAAATTTGCTTTGGAGAATGAAGGCTAAATTTTAAAGTCAGTGTCATAAACATTAATAGAACTTTTTTTTTTTTTTACGTTTTCAATTATTTTTTCTTAAGCCCTATATGTGAATGATAAGGTTGACTATCAGGACCTCGCGGGGCACAGGGCAGGTGAAGTAGGGTTCATCTGTTTCTTTGTCCTAAGCAAATTAAGGGATAGTGTGGTCAGAGACATGCTCGGCTGGAATAGTTTTTGTTGTCTGAGACTTGGCGGGACACTGGGCAGGTGAAGTAGAGTTGAGTAGGTCACCTGTGACGTCAGTATATGAAGGGATAGTCCGAAATCGTTGTTTTTGGTGTTTTTAAAAGATAAAAAACATATTTTTGAATGTGGGGTCTGTTTTTGTGACGATAAGTGACACTGCAGTAGCGTAGCGAGGAGGGGAGGCGGGAGGGGAGGGGAGGCGGGGGGGGGGAAGGGGGGGGACATATGTTGGGGCGCTAAAATGGTTTGGAAAAATAAATTGAAAGGTTGAGGGGGGGGGGTTCAAATCGAAAAGTTTGTCCCCGGGCGCCGGGAAGGGTCGCTATGCCTCTGAGTGACAGACGTGATGTTTTTTGATGGATGACCCCCGAAGCCCACAGTTATCCAACGGATGACGGGTATTCTAGTATTTACTAAAAGAATACTTAAACAAGATGGCTGCTAAAGTAAATGAGTTTGGTTGCATCTGATGAAAACATCTCTAGTCTTTATTTATCACTGAACAGTTTTAATACAAACAGCTACATAAATGAAACTTTGAAACATTTTGGTAAATTTAAAACATAAATCGTCCTAAAACTGAAAAAATTACTAAAATTTAAGAAGTCACCTTATTTCACATTACTAGTCTCGGCCGATTCTATGTACCTAAAACGCTAGATTGCCCTAAATAGTAATTAGCCTACTAACTAGTTATTAGTAGGCTAGCGGCTAGGCTAATTAATGTTATAGGCCTACACTATTTGTTTTAGTAAATCTGTAGTAAAAGTAAATAAATAATGAAATACAATTCAAATTCTTGATGAGATGATTTTGACACATTTTTATAGTTTTGTACTTCACTTGGTTTGGCAAATCAACCACCAGTCCAGTTACTCAGTCTCAATAGTAGTTCATCATCATCATAATTATTCCTTTTAGTTCCTTGTTGAACTGCTAAAGTTTTCCAGTCTTCGCTGTCTCCTGCCACTCTTTTCTGCTGTTCCCTACACCTACACTTCAAACAGAGGCGTAATGACCCATTCTGACACTCCGGCACCCCCACTTTATGCACAGATATTTATTTTGAGGGAAATTGTCATATTAGCTTATTTTATTCGCCTTATGCTCACCTCCAGTTGAGCGTATTCAAAAAAAACTTAACTGAAACACAAATGATAGGAAAACATCCTATATTTTATTTTTTATGAATTTTGTTTTGATTTTGATAATTTTGTCTAAACTAGAGAAGAATTCAAATATAATTTAGATCAATATAATAAATATGCCTTATTTAACTGTTTGTTTTACACTTGAAAATTATGTTAGTGTTAAGATTTTATAGTGCTCAAGCTAGGCTGTGACATAAGAAGTAAAGATTCCTCTTTAGACCTGGCTATCCATTGTGCAGATGACAGAGTTCATGTCTCTTGACCTCATCATATGAAGGGTGTGGTCTGCTCAGATGCCTTTAATTTCCCAAAAATAGGTCAATTACTCTTCAAGCTGGGTTGACTCTGGGATGTATTACTACAGTCACAAGTCTGAACTGAGATCTGAAATAGAGATCTTTAGGCTAGCAGACTAAAGCTCTACCATTTGACCATGTTGTCTCTAGGCCTTGGCGTATGCTGATATCAAACAGTATAAATTCACATATACCCATCGACCATATAGGGATTTTTCTCCTGCTGACAAGAAAATGTGAGCCAGCGATCACATTGGTGACAATGTTTAGAATTAGTCTAAATGATCCATAAAACAAAAACTGTCTTGCAACTGGAGGTGAACGCCAAGTGGTGAATACATTGCGCTAAAATTTAGTTTTATCTGTAAATGTTGGTGGTGCCTAAAATAATTTCTTTTATAATGTAAAAAAAATTAATGTAGAAAGCAGTTTAACTAGTCACTTAGGAAAGCAAAGCATTAGTCTTTTTTCTTAACTTTGTGTATAATCTAGAAATGCAGCTCAAATGACCTTTTTATTTTTTCTTTCTAGCGTGTTCGGTGCCCCCTTAGGGTCGACACCTGTGGTGGCCACCTCATTTGCTCTCCCCTGGTTTCCTATTCCTTCCTCCTGATAATACCCTTTCTGCCTCCTCCATCTTGCTAAGTCACCATGTCATAGTAGTAGTTACTTAACTATAAATAATTACTACAATTAGTAAAATCATAAATACAAATTTTGAATAAATAATTTAAAAAAAATAGGAATTGAAAATTTTCTGTGTGCATTGTATAACTAGGCTTGATCTAGGGTCTAGAAAAGTCTACACTGTGAGCTAAGTTAAAACAGAAAATTTCCTCTTTTCAAAATGTATTTACTAGTTAAGTCTATGACTCAGTGGCGTAGCGAGGTCGAGTGTCACCCGGTGCGGCACTTAATGGTGTCACCCCCCCCCCCCCCCCCAGAGGCAAACTTTCAAATTTTCGATTTGCACCCCCCCTCGAGTTTTTCTCTATATATTTTGCTATTTTTTGCCTTGGTGTCACCCCCCTAAATGGTGTCACACGGTGCGGTCCGCACCCCCCGCCCCCCCTCGCTACGCCCCTGCTATGACTACTAGTCCAGGGTATTCTAGACATTAGTTTTGTCCTGGCCCACCACACATTTGTGTTATTTCACAGACACAGTTGTTGAATAAACCTTATGTTTTAATATATTTTTTCTATGTCTAGTAATTTATTTTAAAGAATGTGAGGTTGTGTATTTAACATAGTTTATAATTAAGAATCTATATATGGCAAATTAAAAATTCCATGAGGCCAGTTGTTATTTCTGTAAATATAAACTATGTAATGCCTAGGTTAACTTTTATTTTTAATATTAATTTCAGATAGTTGCTTGAACATGGGAGACAGGTACAATATCCACAGTCAGCTTGAACATTTGCAGTCCAAATATATCGGCACTGGCCATGCAGACACAACTAAATGGGAGTGGTTGACAAACCAGCACAGGGATACACTGGCCTCTTATCTTGGACATTTTGACATGCTCAATCATCTTAGTCTTGTTGAAAATGAATCCAGAGCACGTGTACGTTTCAATATCATGGAGAAAATGCTCCAGCCTTGTGGACCTCCCCCAAAGCGACCAGAGGATTAAATGTTGATGTATACTACATTGTCATTAGTTGTATTAAAAATAAATTCCATTTGTTAACATTAGTCTGGCTTGATGAATTCAACTTTCAAATAAATACAGATAATTTTTGTGTGTGACGGTAATTTGAATTTACCACACATCTGCAATATAAGTTACATTTTTAGAAAAAATTTCCCTTTTAGACCTAACCATCCATAGGGCAATGAAGTAGAGCTCATGTTCCTTATCCTCAGCATTAGAAGGGATGGTGTGGTCAGCATTTTGCCTAGCTGCCTTTACTTTCCCTGAACCAGGTCCCATCCATGACATCCTTGGTGTAAATCAGAATGCCCTGTCTGCACTGTGAATAACTATTGGTTAAAATATCTTCAATACTTTGAAAAAAAGACAAATTTAATTCCAAAAACAAATGAACAAACACTTCCACACTAAATATTGGTACATACAAAACAACTCGATTTTTCCATATAAAAAGGAGCATTTTAATTTAATCAGCTTTGAACACAAAATACATAATTAAAAATACTCAATTACTATCTAATTTCTTTATTAATTCATCAAATGAAGTGGCATGAACCCTTGCACATATCAAGAGGTCTTATTTTAGAAATGTGTTCTGATAATTTGTGCATTAATGGTATTTGTCATATATAAACCCCATGTATTAAGAAAATATGGACACAAAAAATAATTTCACAACACATTGTTATCCATTTGCAAAGTTATGTAATCTAAAGATGTTTAAAATGTTACCTGGTATTTAAAACTGAAGTAATCAAATGTATCTCAATTCTTAAGTTAAATATCAAAATGTTTATCAATACCAACCAGCAGCTTTATAATAATCATTAGTTTCATGAACTGATCATTTTTACACTAGCATCTAATTATGTAAGCAGCAGTTTTCAACTCTGGAAAGAATACTGCTATCACTCAACAACTGTAATATAAAACTTGAAAAATAGAAATGTTAACACATTTGTTCTCTTTATTTCCCCTGGACAACTATCCTTGAGGAATTTCAGATACTCTTTACATTTTCAGAACTCTTGCCCAATCCATTTACTTACTGTCCTTATTTTTACTTGTCTCAAATTAATAAACAAAATGATAAAAATGTTTGCATCAATGATTAACAACCAGCATTTTACTGAAAGAGCATTCATGTGGATATAGTGACCTTCATGGTTAATATCTTGATATAAAAAAAGATATCCAAGAAGAATATTGTTGTTTTCTAATTTCAATACTTTACCAAACAGAATTTACTTACACACATGGAAGAACTTATTGAAACAAAAATAAATAAGTGTTAAAAAAATTGCCCTTTAATAGATAACACATAACAATTAATATTTTAGAAACTATTTAAGCTAACAGCTCAACCCAGCATATAAAAAATAACGTACACGAGGAAGTTTTTAAAAACAATTTTTAAAACTTGCGTTAACATATTAAACTTCCTTTCATAAAAAAGCAGTAAAAAATAAACAAAAAAAAAAGGACGCCATTTATCTTTTTACAATGATAAACTGAAGTGAAATGCAACCACTAACAGGTTGCAAAAGCACCTGAAAATGAGTAGATACAAAAAAATGTACACTGTTGTAAGGACTCATAAGAAATTGCCTTACACATTTTTAAGTAGCATGTACAGAAAATAAATAGTTATTGCTATACCAGCTATAAATTATTCCTCTTTGAACTATTATAGCACACATGGCAATAGCTTGTTTTAGTATCCTCTATGTACAATTGATAAACATTAAAATGAGTGGTTATTTAACTATAATTATGTGTAAGGTATTTTGTCAGATATAAATATCCTTACATTTTAAACTGTTTTATATTTTTTTCATTATACTACATAATCTATAAACTGATTCATTAAATATATAAGACCTATGCTAGAATAATTTCAACTTTGTCTAAGAATTTTGTGTAAAAGTTTTATATTGAGTTAAATAAAAGTCTAAAGTATTAAAGTTAACCTGAAATTTTTTGCATATGTAAAACTTTATTAGTCTACTCTTTAACTTTCAAAGATTAGGTTGAGTTTTTTTTGTTTCATTTACCATTTCATTAAAATTATGCAGATATGAAGCTTTTTTCTACTATCAGCATTACTGTTCTTAATTGATGAAATGTAAACTAGCCTTTCTTATTCAATAATGAAACATTCATAAGGATGCAATTATATCTGATGTGGAAAGTGGAGAATTTTTACATCACATTGTATTAGCGAAACAGCATATCCATGACATACACCCATACAGTTGTTCCTCATTAATCTTGGCTCACATCACTTTCAAAATCATCATCTAAGAGATCATCAGATTCATCATCAAAATCATCATCCATCTCATCATCTTCAACATCAAGCATGGGATGGCTAATAAAAGTTCCTCCTTTTCTGATATACTTTCTCTCTTGCAGAAGTACCTGCAAATAATTTTAAATGACCATTTACAATTTTTTTTAAAGCACTACCATTTAAATAAAATGTATACGCAATTTCATTTCCAAAGTTAATAATTAATTACTTAAGAATTAATGACAGTTTAGTTTTTATTTTGCCGTTGTACAATAATTTCAGTTGAAAGAAAAAAGTAAAACCTTTTTGTCAATTCGCCTTTCCATTCTATACTGGCAGACTATGGGATATATATGCTCTATGGCAAGCTGAATATTCAAAACACATGGTGCTGAAAATAAACATCAAATATCAGCTAAAGTAGAGACATTTTTCTTTTTCCAAAAAACCCCATTTAAAATAATAATATATAGATGAAAGAATGCACTTGTATATATGTATGTAATATGCAAACTTTTGCTAGAAGAGACAATGGACTCAAACGAGAAATCTCAAAATTATTTGAAAGGTCTGTTAAATATTTTAAAAATCAAGTACAATGCTATTTGTAAATACAAATTACTATGAGTTTTTCAAGCAGTGGGGTTTCAAAATATCAAACACAGAAATCCAGTAGAGCCAATCAATGTTTGTCTTACAAAAGTCAAAAACTTTAGGTTATAACTTAGGCTTGATGAAAATACATAGTAATGTAGCCTTAAACTAAAAAAATATTCTAGTTCTTTGGATTTGCAACTTCAATAACACTGATTCTAAAAATATTACTGAATAATTTTCAAGGTTTTTTTTTGCTTTGATTGCCAAATCTAAAAAACATGATTTTTATCCATGTCAACAATAATGATGAAAGGATTCTCTTCAACTAGGTCATGTCCTTATCAAGAAACCATAAATCAAATTTACCTAACTGGTTGACAAATGAATATATCCCTACCTGTGACTGTAATACTGCCTGTAGAAAAAATCTTTAATGTGGCCTTAGGATCTTTGATTCTGTAAGTGACACCAGGGTGCAGTTCAGGCTCATAACTACACATAAAAAAAGGAAAATATATTTTTGTTATGGTATAAAATTATAATGGACACAACAAAGAAGGAATAAAGTAAATTATTAGGATATTGCTTTAGAAAAGTGGAATTGAACAAAGCATTTGAATACTGCTTTCATTTAGGCCCACAAAATACAACAGAGTACCAAACCCAAATACATTTAATCACAGCTTGGAGAGTCCAGCTGTCTATAACAATAACAGTATGGGAGGGAAGATGCAGCACTATATATATATATATATATATATATATATATAGCAAGTGGACTATATAACACAAAGAAAATAAAAACATGAGATGAACAAGAGGATGAATTAGGTAAAAATCAGTTTAACAAAAAACATTAACAGAAAAAAAAAGAATTACATACAGCTAACAGGCAACACAATAAATGAAAATATTAATGAAAATAATTTTTAGGTTCAAACTAAAAATAATTTCAAACAGATTAAAAGACTAAAGTTATTTATTTACAGTAAACATTGTGATAAAATATACTGACCTAGCATTTTCTCTGTTTGCTTCAGAAAACTGATTGAGTTTAATACCAAATGGTAAACTACACGTGCCCAAAACATTCACTACTCGATAGCTTGAAAACCTGATATTAAACCCAAGCTTTTGAAGCCGCCGGGCTATTCTCCTAGCTGCGAGCTTTGCTTCATCTTCACTGTGAAAAAAATGTATAACTGTAATATGGCTAGCAGTTATGGCTTTATTGAAACAAATTAGTTTCATAAAATAAAATGAATACAATACCTTGTAGATCCCGTACAAGTAATTTTTCCAGATGACCAAATAGTTGCTGTTGTGTTCGGACGTCGCAATTTCATATTTAGCATCTTAAAAATATCAGCATTGATTATTATGTTAAAAATTATTAGTAAAGAACAATTTTTATAAATTAAAAGGTATAAACAATTAAAAAATGTCTTACCCCATTCTCTCGCTTATACTCCACATGTGCTCCTTCCATGGCTATTTTCTTTAAATTCAGATGACACCTGGTGCTGAATGTACACACGACATTGTTTATTATAATATCAATAACCGGAGCGTCATCTTGAGCTTCTTCCACAGCAGTAGCTGCACTGTATGCTCCAATATCAACTGAATCACCACCATCTGATGTTATATGACAATTGTTATTCACGAGTCCATCACTCTCAGCATTCCCTTTAGCTTGAAATTCAGCAGCACCATGTCCTTCAAGACAATCTCCATGATTGAGAATCCCAGTAGAAGATGAGCCAAGTTGTTGCCCATGAATACCACTACTTAAAAGAGCTGGGTTTGATACCACAGACATTTTGAATATGTATGACTAGATAACTTTCTTAAACTAACATAATTGACCTGAAATATAAAAAAATGTGCAGGAATAAGATTTTATTTTAAAGCAACTTAATTTTTTCATTATCAACTACTAGATCTAGATCTATAGTCTCTAGCTAGATCTAGATCAATCTAATTATTCTAAAAGGCCTACTTACAATACTAGTTTAAAGTTTAAACTACAGGTTTTAATAGTTAGATCTATATAGATCTAGTTAAGTAAGTTTGTACACACTACACACTATTACAACAAATTGGTATTTTTTATTGTTTTGGTGGTAGTATTATCGACTATCATTTTAAGTTTGCCAATAGTCAATAGCTTATTAGCGGCAAGTGAGAAGTTAGAGTACTAAGACTAAACACTAAACTTATACTAAACTAACAGTTTAACTAACTTCAACAAGTAAGCAACTTGATCTATTCTATGCCTAAGCATTCTAACTAATCCAAACTCAACTCTGATGCTAGGCTTCATTTTTAAATATAGAAAATCTACATTTTTTTTATCTTTAAAACACAAAGTAAGTGAGAGAAATCTAAACATTTTCAAAAAGGGCAAAGTGATATCTAGATCTAGAAGAAGATCAATTATGAGTATTATTTCATTGAGAATTAATTTGAACAAAAAGTAAATTGGTAGATTCTAATCTAGATCTAGATTCTAGAACCGTTGTTCACCGTAACATCATTCATTCAATGCCCACAGCGGCAGTGAGATGAGCACTGTGGGTCAGCAGCCAGCTCTTCTAATCTGTTCAGGGATTGTTTTAGGACGATTTTGATGCAAGAATATTTAATTAAAAAGTGTACTTTAACAATTCATTCAATTTACACTAGATTTATCACCTGAGACAAAATGAGGGACAATTAAAACAGCAGATTAATATTTTACTCCATCACCATCGACGACAATACCGACTCAGAAGTCGCCATTTTAAAATAACTACAAAGGGAGGTAACTTAGAGCAGTGTTTTAGCATTTTTTTATTCTAATTTTGATGACGACATAGATTTAGTGAAAAAAAAAAGGAAAACGTTTAAGTCTATAAGACATAAGAGCTTACATATAGATCTACGCCCTTTAATTTTTGATTACTATTCATAATGATTGACAGATTGAGATAGGTCTAGATCTAGTTGAAAAATAGTGAAGTAAATAGTCTATGAAGTCCCAATGTTTTAAGAAATTTATTTTTACCATACAAAGTGAAAGCAAGCCTTCTTATATTAACTAGTCAAAAAAATGTTAACTTTAAAATCTTTTTTCATTGTGATCTTGAGGGTTGCAAAGGATATTGTCAGTGATGTGATAATTTTCTGTGTCAAATATTTTCTTTAACAGTTTGACAAATGTGAACTTCTCACCTAATTTCCTACACACATTTTTGAAAATAAAAATCCTGGGACTGGTTATAAAACAAAAAATCCAATTAAACACAACACAGAATTTCCTATTCAATTTAGTCTTTGTAAGAAGAACAAAAAAAAAAAAAAAACCAAAAAAATAACAACCTCTGTCACAGATTTATGTGGTTTGTTTTTCCTCCTAAAATTCTTAGTGGTAAAAAATAAACTTGTATTTAGGTAGCAACTTTTGCAGAAAGAGTCTTAAGAAAGACATAGAAGCAATCCAAGCAGATGGACCAATGTAGAATCAGAAAATACAATACGCTTACATGTTTCTTTCTTTATTTTGTAGGCTTACTTTGCCTTTTTAGCTAATGTCTTCTAACATTAGTTAAGATTTCCAAACCCAAAAAATCACTTTATATGTAAATTTTTTTTATTGAAGGTCAGTGGACAGCTGAACTAATATTCAAAACCCTGAATATGCTTATACAAAATATTAACCCCTTTCTAACACAGTGAAAGTACTATTTTAGAAGAATAAAACACCTTTTTAATATTGTTATCATAGATGTTTTTAAGAAAACTGACATAAAAGTAAAATGATAATTACTGAAAATTAATTTTCATATTTTAGTTACCTATATAAATAGGCGGGGACAGAGTGGTCTAGCGGTAGAGAGCTGGACTGCTAACCCCTAAGTCTTGAGTTCGAATCCGGGTTCAAGTCAGTAGACCGTCCCTGAGCCCACCCAACTCTGATGGGTACCTAACTCACGTTGGGGAAAGTAAAGGCAGCTGGGCATAGTGCTGACCACACTATCTCTTCATATGCCGAGGTCACAGAAACAAGTGAACTCTACTTCACCTGCCCCATAGACCGTCAGGTTTGAAAGGGAAACTTTACTTTTATATAAATAGATACAATTTTGTTTATAGTGCTGTAGGATTAAATGAACCATGAATAAAATCATAAATTGTAACCCCCGCATCTAAGCTTTGGTATCTTTCAAACACAAAAGTAACATAAATCTAAAATCAACAACCAAATGTTTGACCAGGTCTTTAAAAAATAAAATTTTAATATTTGTTTACAATGTTGAATAGTGGATAATAAATGTGCTTCATTTTACCTATTGTTGAAGCATGCATATTAAATGTTTAACACCTTGTTGCATTCCTAATACCTAAAGTAGAGTTGTTTATAACTTTTATGAAAGTAATTAGTCAACATAGGAGATTACAAAATATAATGGCAAAACGAAATACAGACACAAAGTATACTTAGTTCTCTAATAACAATATCAAGGCTTGAAAATGTTCATAGATATTTATTTTGGAATCCAAATGATTAAAACAAATAGAACACATTGTAATGACTTTGTTCTTATTCAATAAAAATACAAATGTGCTGAACATTCATTTTAAAAATAATAGACTTGCTGTAGTAATTATAAGTATCAAGCTAGTGGGTATTAAGCTTTTGTAGTATACTAAAAATACTTTCTCTAGTGTGATTAGATATACAACCATAAGTAAGGAAGGAAAAAGCAAATAAGTTTATGTTGTGAAACTTATCATTATGAACATAACTAATTTGCTAAGTAGTTTGTATCACATCGAATAACATTTTACAATCTTTTTAAAGCCTAGTTAATTAAAAAAGTGTTATGAAATATAAAGAAAACTTGTCCAGCACCCTTAATTACTGATAAAGTATTAGAAAATGTCCCCACAAAAATGGTTAGTTTCCATTCTGATTTTAGTAAAACATTTTGGGGTCGAAAGCACAAGTTGTGTTGAAATTCAATATTCATCAGTCAAATCCACACAAACCTGATTCTTTTGTAATGCATAGACATCATCTTAATATTAATCACATACAATTCAAGTAAATAATCAACTTTTAAAATAAAATAAAGCCCTAAACAATTAATGCAGTGGAAGTAACAAATTTAAAATAGTAAGTGGACATACATTTTTAAAAAATAAAGTATAAACTTTCAACCGAAGAACATTAAATCTCTTTGGTAAATAACACAAGGTCATTTACTGATCATTACTTTCCTGCATTATGAATAGCAATCTGAAAAAAACTTATCTTAAGACAAAAATAGTATTTTAATGTGAAAAGCATCTAACTTTTAACATGTTAAAGGGATGTTGAAAAAAAAAAACCCAAAGAAAGAAAAGGATTTCTTGAACAGTACAAAAAAAAAAAACAACCAGTAAGGTCATTGGGTTGAGATTAAATCATGGTCATGTGTTCAACATAACCATCACCAAAGCATTCATTTTGACATCAGTAGAGAGATACAATATTCAAAAAGCAACTTGACAACCTTGTTTCTTCTAAATGGTCAACAATCAAATGGGGAAAAATAGAGTTCACAACAAAATGCAAGTCATTATTTATGTTTTCTACATAAAGTATAGCCTATTCACTTCTAAAAACAAAAAACTAATGTAAAAACGATATGACTTGCATATAGGCTTTAGTTTGTTAAATTCATAATATTATACTTGTATTGAACCAAGTTAAAAATATTCTTTGTCTTAATGCCCAAACGTTACAATTACATGCAACTTTCATAAGCAAGTATTCTTCCATTTTTCTAGATACAAAGACTCCTGTTAAATACACATACATGAATGGTAGACTGTAGGATAGCTAAAAACAAAAATAAATCATGTTATCCCATTCCTAACTATGACAACATTGGAAATATAGCAAACAACTTTACAACAATGTTCAAGATTCTTTCAATACTTCTTGAATGAAAGCCTTGACATCACTCATTTCCTGTAAGTAAAGAAAATAGGGAAAACAAAGTTAACCATATTGATTTATACAAGATAAATGTGATTTGTTCTACCTAGTCACAGTGCTTTTGATGCTACTAATAATGCAGGAACTCAAAGTCCCCGCCTTACCTATAACTGTACTTCCACAAGATAAGAGTAATATTAATTTAAAATTTTTGTTTATAGATGTTTTTATATCTAAGTTAATCATCATCTTTTCCCATTCATGCCCAGACACACCAGGTAGTGAATTTTTACAAAAGACAAAAAAGTGTAATTTAGGCATAACTGTAATTTCATAACCTGGGTGTCAAAATTGTAAAGCTACAGGCAAAGATCATACAAGTAGGCAGCCCTGTTAATCCATATTAACAAGAAATGAAATGGTTACACGTACCCGTGGACTAGAACTGTGTCCCATGTTACTGTAGGACTTGAACTGTGCATTTGGGTTGAATGTTTTTATTATTTCATGAGTTGCCTGTCCCCACCTAAATGAAACAATGGGATCCGATGTACCATGACACTGTAACACTGGAACATTAACATTGTATTTCGTATTCTGAAAAGAACAATATGTAGAATATGGTAAGATTTAATACAATATTTTAACTAATTGATAAACAATAAGTTAAAACACTAAAAAACATAATAATATAAAGGTTATAAAAATACTTTTCAAGCTGAAACGTCATAAAAATGCAAAGTATAAATATTCCTAAGATTTTATTTTATATGTGACTTTTGTTTACAAGTTTAATACTGCTGAATTATATTTAAAAAAAAAAAAGTGATATCATACTCGAATTTAAAATAACTGATTATTTAAAAGATTATACGATCGACTCACTGAACTGAAAGTTTGGTGAGCTAATACAACTTTAACTTTGAGGCTGTCTTAAAAAGTTGTAAATGCCCAAAATTTATAGAAAACATTACATTGACGAAAAAAACAACAACAAAAAAACAAAAGTTGGTCATAACATAAACTATGACCTATAAATTTAAAATAGTGAAAAGAAGAAAAAATAGTTTGAGGCCAAATTAGCTACTACAGCTCTTAACTTTAAAGGGAGGTGCTGCATATATATTTTTTTAATTTGCAGGGCAATGTTAAGTGTTTTACATTTCAAACATAACAGGAACCTTAATGTACAACACAAAAAGAGAAGAAAACAAAAACTAAAGCAAAATCTGTTTCATTAAATCTCATAAAAACTGCACCATTTTCAAAACTATAATACTTAAAATTTCAATGTGGTCACTAATCTGGACATTTTTTTATGAACAATAAGAGATTGGAAAACAATTCTTTAAAGAAAATTGTTAACGAAAGTAAAGTTTTAATTTACACAATATAAATTGTGACCCTCATAGACAGTTTGCACATCTTAGTTTTTTTACAGTAAACTATACAGCGTTTTAAATATTGAAGACATTGATAAAAATTGTTTAGGAATTATCCTTATTCAATTATAGTTTACTTTAAACCAGTTTCCAACCTTTTTTTGGGGTGATCGAAACTATTTAAAGCAAGAATGAGAACTTCTAAACTTACATCTTAATAAAAAGTATACTGGTTTGCTAATTTTATGTGACAATTAAAATCATTTTAATTAGATACAAATTCAAAAACACTCTACTGATATATGCAAATGAGTTGCTTAAAGTTCAAAACACCTTATTATGTACAGCTCTAGCTCAAAACAGCAGTACAGCGACTGGGTTGAATTATAGTGGAGGGTCTCAATTATGTAAATATACAATGTGCTTTTATTCAGAAATAAAAATGTAAAAAACATTTAAATGTTGAAAACAAGGAAAACAATGAAAAAGTAGATATATTAGTCAGAAACTATATATAATTATGTTTTTGCCTAGAGTATTAAAAAAAAGGTTAAAAATGAAAAACTGTTGATATTTCATATAATCTGTTGCCTAAGTTAAGAACTAAACTTACACAAGCTGAGCTTTACTTGTGTTTTTGGTACACAATAATGCCTGCTTTATCCGAATATTGCAATCAGCTAATGAAAATAAGGAATCACAGGAAACAAGCCAAACAGCTGCCTTGTTTATAATTATATAAAGCCTTTGAAAAAACAATTTGCTATTTTTTAAAATACACTAACAGTAAATTTTAAAAAGTATAGCTTTCTAATGATACAAAATGGATAGCAAAGTGTGACAGATATCTTTTGAAAGGTAGATTTTCTCACACTAATAAACAATTTTGAGATATTTTTGAAAATATTAAAAAGGTCAAAATTGTGAAGGTTGCTTTTTGCTCAACGCACCTCCCCTTATCAATACTACAGCAAATCAAATGGAACTAAATAAAACTTGGTAGCTCAAGATAAATTATCATAAGCTAACCTGTTTTTTACAACATGAACATTTCATCTTCCCACATTTCTTCACCTATTGTAAAAAGGTTTCACAAAAACCTACAGTGTCAACAGGTAATATACATTTTAAAGGACGCTGTCAAGCTTTAGAAAAATATAAAACAAGGTTTCAGTTGCTCTTGAAAAAAATTACCATAGGTTACTTAAAAAAAAAATTCGCTTTACCCGTCAGTACTAAATAGTAGATCTATATGTTCTTAAAGCCCTACAAAGTTTATTCAAATGCAGAAATAATAACAAAAATATTTTCTATAAGTTTAAAAAAATGATATTCTGCTATTCTAATCTGTCTTTTTTAAAAATATTAGATTCGTCCAAATGATTTACAGTTGGCTAGATGAACTATCAGAAAAAGAAATAATATCTTTGCAAAGTCAAAACTGTTTGAGGATGGTTATGTTTACTGCAGTACTTATTAACCAATTTCTATAAGAGGAAAACTATTTAATTACTGTAGCATGGTTTTTAAATTTTAAGTGAATGTATGAAATATGGTTGCTTCACTGAATCAGCATAAGAAACCCGTGTCTTGTTAAAATAGTTTTAAAAAGGTTTAATAGAAATTCACTTCACTTACACTGTCATTAGTAAAATACTTGTTCATGGGCATCCAAGTACTGAGGGCCACAACTCCGCCAATTTTAACATCTGTTCCAAAAGCTGTGTATAGTGCCACTGCACCCCCCTGAGAGAACCCCCCAATAAGTATTTTTTCAGGAGGTATGCCTTCACTAATTTCTTTAGCTATTAACTGCTGCACTAAAAAAAAAAAAGCATTTAACAGGATGAACAACATATATCAGAATAAAAATATTAAAAACAAACAGGAAAAAATATTTATGTTTTACTCGTGCAATGCTATATGACCCTGAGAGAAAAAAACAAACAAATAATCTCCTTCTGCCGTATGTTTATTGTTTACGTTGATCCCAGCTCATACATGCTATTGTCAAATGGCTATTAGGCAACACACCATATTTTAGTAGCATCTATCCGAACACTTAAATTAAAATTCATATCATGTAAAATAATAAACTCACATTCTTTTGAAGAATCTTTGATACCTTGTTCATCCTCTGGACTATTTTGGTCTAAGCCTCGTATATCAAACCTTGTAAAAAGTTTAAATTTAATGAAATCCTCAAAAATAATAGAAATACATATATTTTTGAGCAAAAAGTTTAAATTTAACATTCATTTCAATACATTTTTTAAAAATATCTTGAGTAATAGTGCACAGGTAAAACATTATTTAAAATAAGAGTTAGAACTGATAAGTAAACAAGGATTATCTGTAATTTTCAGCTTTCAGTAGCAGGCTTGTAATTCTCAATGAGAACTTAGTGAAATGTGTTTTATGCTGTGTCAGAATTTTTATATTGTGCATCTTTACATTGTAATTTCTATTTAAATACTCTTTTTAGGGCTACTGGACCTACCTTAATTATAATCAACGAGAACAGTTTAAATGCCAGCTGTTACAAGTCAAAAAAAAAAAAAAACAACCTATACATAAGGTTAAATTCTAAATAATGATTTACTTACCAAGAAGGCATAACCATTCCGGCATTGAGTGATACAGGTTTGAGGGGGCTGAAAATATTTTGAAGTTTAGGTTTTATGAATAAAAAAAAAAAGAAGCTAAAATGGTATATTCATGTTTTTTTTAAAAAATTCATGTTTTTAAGCATGAACACGGATTCCACATTTCCGTTTCAGCCTATTTTTTTTTAGTTACAACTGTATGATAGCTATTTAAAGTGATTTCATACCAGTTCTAAATAATTGAGATATGCAATGTTTCCCATAGATCATGTGGTATCAAAAAATGTATTTAATTTACATTAGAAACTAGCTTAGTGGCACTATTGCCTACTACTTACGCATGGGGGCATATACATCTTATGTTTTTGAAATTGAATTCTCTAAAATTTTCACTCCAACCATGGCTGTAAAAAATATTAGTAAATTAATAAATTCATGATCAATGGAAAAACTTAGGAAAAAAAATCATCATTAAATTACTAAACTGGGCTTTGATGAAAACTTAAAATAGTGAGTAGTTATTAAAGACCAACATACCCAGTATCACCAAGCCCATGAAGAAAGATTAACTGAAAAAAAGTAATAAAATTTGAGCAATAATAACTTTGAATACAATTATTGTTAAATTGACTAGCATACTATAGATATGGACAACAAAATGCTTGATTTTAAATACAATATTTCATCGCAAACTATTTTTGATATTTTCATAAAAATGCCTACATGTAGGCGTACGACTAACTACTACACTAGGACTTGAGTATTAGATGTTGCCTACTAGCTTAGCAATTAGACTCACTATTATAGATATGCTAACATTTTAGATCCTACTATATGGCAGCAAATGCTGGGAAGTAAAAACTGCCACCAGCAGAAAACTGGGTTCACTCCAAACTAAGTGCCTGTGAATCATGAAGGATAAAAGGCTCCCACTAGCTTAACACCATCTAAAATGATAATTTACTTATAGAAATGGAAAGCATTTCTGAAATATTGAAAAAAGAAGATGTAGCTGAATGGGGCACATTTTAGGAATTAATCCAGATGACATCACAGAAATGTCGCTTAACTGGATGCCTCAAGGAATAGAAAAACAGGAAAGGCCAAGAGAGGTGGAGGCGCACAGCAGAAAAGCAACTGACAATGGCAGGGCAATCTTAAGAAAATTGAGACTGGCAAAAGTGGAAAGAGCTTTCTGTGGCTGTCCCATATTTCTTGGGCACAAAAGGGAAAAGATGATAAATATTTTTATCGTATTAAAATGGATTTCCTAAAAAAGAGAGGCTAGTGACTAGATCTAATAGTTTTAAGCTAGATCTAATAACTTAAATCTAGCTAACTACTACGGTAATCTCACAATATAGCATCAGAAATTAACCGGTAATGTTTGTTGAGTTTTGTTAACATTCGTTACTGTAAACCATAGTTTAATTGACCGTTGAAATGAAAATAAAGTCAAGTGCATTAAAATTCATTAAATTAGTGTTTAAACTTAATTTAAACTTTAATTGACAGAAAATTAGCAACAATTAGGCCTAGTAGATCTAAATATTATTAATAAAGACTTGTGTAGTAATGATTATTTTTTAAGAAACACAGAAAAAATTCTTCTAGATCTAGAAAAATAAGACGATTAGATTTACTAAAGTTAAAAGTAGTAAGAAGAAATAGAACAATGTTTAGTAGCAGCAATAATTAGCATATACACTTAAAATAATTAGAAATACAAAATAATTAGCAACACAGTAGGCCTATTTAAATTGCAGCTAAAATCAATCTATCCACATTTTTAAACATTGTGTATTAAAAATAATATGGCGCCAAATAAGTGAGGTTTACAGTATTTTCGGAACAGCGGGACAGACTATGCCATGGTTTTACTGTTTTTTACTGCTGCACCATTCGGGAATAATAACAGGCGCTATAAGCCTATATCATGAATTTTACCGCTAACTACTACAGTACGAGATATCTGCTAGTGAAGTGTTTAATGTACTATCTATTAGATTTCTAGTATCTAGATCTAGTCTAGATTCTAGACCTAGATCTTCTAGTGGAAGTGTTAGAGCTGCTAGACCTAGATCTAGGTTGAGGATTTTGGTCAATTTGTTTTGAGCTCAAGACTGTTTCTTGGTTCTTACCATAACTCTAGATCTATTCTATATCTAAATACTAGTATTATGACTATTATTATAAAGCATTGCTCGTTTTTTTATACCGAAACTCATCTGAATGGTATGAAAACACTAACCGATGCAGATGCTTTGTCTTTGGGTTGCACTTTAGCTGGTGGATTCATGTCGTGAGAAGAGGAGGCGCCCATAAACCGCTTCTTGTTCTCGAGAAGTAAAACGCCTGCAATGACAACTAATAATAGAAATAGAAAAAAATAAGCAGAAGATGGCCTTAAATTATAGATAGTCTCTGTATTTTTGTGTTTCATCTATTCGTACGTAACACGTTCAAAAAATGTTGATTTCTAAAGTTGTTCATTTGGAATTTAATTTTAACAAGAGGTAATGTGAGCATAATCGATTTTCACAGACCAAATTTCTCGCGTTTACAATGGTCTCGCGAGAAGTAAATATTGATTCCAGGCCTACTTTTCCTACCGGAATCGAATTCAAGATAAGTTCAATCCGACGTGAACGTTCCTTTTATCATAATAAATGCTAGTGCTTCAGCCTAACTAAAATCAACCACAAGCGCTTACTGACAAACTAGGCGGTCTCATTATTATATTTTACTATTATTTTATGTTTATTATTATTAGTAGATTTAGTAGACATGATATTTATTTATATTGAATCCAGAATAAGATGAAGCTTGTTGTTAAAGACCTAGATCTAGCGAATTCTAAAGATAACGACATTAACGACCAGGAATCAACTAGAGATCAGGTACACTGGTACAGCCACTGACTGTCTGTTGTACACAGGACAGTCAGTCTGAGTCTGAGAGTGTCGAGTGTTGATATCTCATCATTACTCATTACTCGAGTCATTACATTACTCATTTCGAGTCATTATGATTATTAGGACAATAGTAGTCATCAGCAGTGTTTCTTCCAGACTTTTTTCTCGGGGGGGGGGGGGGGGGGGGGGGGGGGACTGTTTTTTTTTAAAAAGTATATATTTTCTATATAAATTATATAAATTTCATTTCGTTGGGGGGGGGGGGGGGGGGGGGGGGGCGGTAAAAGAGATGCCTGGAAGAAACTCTGGTCATCAGTAGTAGTAGTATGCTACTCAATTCCCTAGTTTTATAATAATTTTTTAATTAAGGAATTAAGACTAAGAAGACCAACTAATTTATTAATCATAGGCCTAAATAATTTTTTAACAATTTATTTTATTATATTAAGCCTATCATAGGCTAAATAAAATATCAAGTTAATAGGCCTTAATAGGCACTAAGTAAGTAGGCCTAATATTGAAATAAATAACTTATTGCCAAAACGGTTTTAACCCACCCGATGTTTAGGCTTGTTGGTAGTAAATCGTGATAGGCCTATATCATACAGTTTTTTACAGTTTTTTTTTTTACTGCACCATGCCGATGATTTACATAAACTTAGATACAGACTTAAATTTTTAAACACTTTAAGTTTGCATTTTTATAATGTAGAGCAGCTCGTGAAAACATATTTTAATCCAAAGAATAAGATGGGCCAATTTTACAGCAATTAAAATTTATTAATGACTAAACAACTTTTTAGCGCAATTTCCATTCTGGAGAATTGCGTTTATTAACCCGTCATTTCTGGATAGATGAATGGATTGATGTATGAATGAATGTGTGTCCGCAGCTTTAAGTCGTATCTCCTCCTCAACGAAGCAATATCGAGGACTAGTTCCAAAAGCAATTATGTTAAGCAAGTTACGAGGATGAACATAGGCCATAAAAATTCCGGGTTTCTTTCATGGATTTCCCGGAAAAGCCAAAAAACCTCGAAAAAATGCAGTTTTTGGCCCATACCAGACCACTTAGAGACTTGAAACATGTACCAATCGATTCCTGCCATAATTTAGAACAATATTGCCGAAGAAAGTTTTCAAAAATACCTTTCGTTCGGTCACAAAATTTTTTTTGAATTAATTAAAATTTGGACCGAATTAGTAGGCATTTTTATCCAACCACACCACACGCGTCATCACGTTTAATAGCCGCGCCATCACGTTCAATGGCTGCGACATCACGTTCGGTAGCTAGGCGCGCAATGGTTTTTAGTCATGTAACTCTATTGTAAATAAAACATGTAAAATACTGAAAAAAAAAATTAATAAAAAACGTTTTAATAACTAACCAATGGTTTTACTAACCCTGCTCTTGATTTACGCTACGACAGAGCTATTTTTAGATAATATAAGGAAATTGCGCTTAAATGTCACTAGACTTTTTAATTAACTTGTTTTATTTTGTCAACTTCAAATACCATCTCGAGTTCGAACCCTTGGGCAGATGAGGCTCATTAGCTGGGTACAGCCACTCTTCTAGGAGAGACAACTCAAAAATCAAACAACTGCTGCCTTGTAGTTTGTTCTTGGTTGGACAAAGGCTATGGAAGCAAATCTAAAAAGAAAAGCAGGCTGAAGTCGGAGTCAATGGCCTCAATGGTGCATAACCAGTTGACACTTATACTTGTGTTGGAGGGGATCCTTTCCAACACTAAAATTAAAAAACAAAGAATAAGAAGAATACCATCTAGATCTAGTTTGAACCAACCAGAAATACCACCTTGAAAATAAATTTACTTTATGTAAAAACACACTTTATTTTCTTCTTCTAATGTTCATTTAAACGTCATTTAAATTTATTTTAGTCTGAAATTTCCCACAGATATTTTTCAGTTAGACCTACATAGTTAATTATATTTTTGTATAAAAGAAATATAAGCTAAAAGACCAGTGAGAAAAAATAGTCATGAAAATTAGGTAAAGTAATACTGAATTATCAAGTAGCATTTGTGTTCAACTATGTTCAGCAAATTTTTGTAAAGTTCTGCTTTGGGATAAAGTGTAGCATTAAGAGTGAAACAAGTTATTGAATTAAAGTGAAGAAGAAATTAAGCATTAACAGAGTAGAGAGTAGGTGAAAGAAATAAAGCTCCTTCCCCCAACACCTCTGCCCAGCATTTTCTGTAAGCTCAAGTAGTTTGGCTGTTTTGCATAGAATATATACTTTATAAAAAGTTTATTTCTTTACATTCTCCTTTATTATGTTTTTACACAACATTTGTTATTAATAAATACATTTTTCTTATTAAAAATTCACAACCAAATCAATAGTTGTCAGGTGGCATTTTGGGGCTGGAACGGATTAATGGCATTTCATATAATTTGATTTCAATGTAGAAAATTGCTTTGAGATACAAACAGTTTGACATATGAACGATGTTACAAAATCAATGAAATTTGTATCTCTAGGTACCACGTAACTTTATCAGTTTAATTTCAATTACATTATGTATTTTAAAAACAGAGTCTGGTTGTTGGAAGCTGCTTGGCTGTGTTTGGTAACATTTTGATAAGTATATCACTCAATTTACAGGTAAGTAGTATATTTTAAAAGTTATATTTTCAGAAGTATGTTATTAATTAAAAATAATAATTTTTTGCACTAATTTCAATAGTGGAAACATTTTTGGTATTGCACCACTAGTCACAGAGAAATAACCAGATCCAAAAACGTTAATTTGCGAAATTTCAAATCTAGTAACTGTCATACAAGTTAGCTACTTTTAAAAGACAATTTACATACTTTTAATTTTAAGTTCCATCTTTTTTAAACTTTCACCTTAAATGGTGCACAATGAATAAATTATTAGAAATAACAGCATGAAAGAAAGAAGTAATAATTTATATTTTAATGTAGGCCTACTAAATTATTTAATGGATACTACTTAATTAGTTAAATGTCTTCCACATATATTTTTTTTAACATTGAGCACATTTTCTTAACTAAAAGTGAAAAAAATTTATTTTCCTGATCAAGCTATTTGTTAACTAATATTGACCTTTATTTAACCATTTAAATATGACACTCTTTGCACCTCCCACAGACTACCATAAAAATACATCATGCAAGTTCACTAAAATGCAAAATAACTACTAAAATTCAGTTTGAATGATTGCTTTTTACAATTAAAGACATCACTCTTTTGGACCCCCTTCCTTGATCACAAAAGTCCAAAGCCCTCTTCATTTATGGACAACAATTGATTTAAAAAAAATTGTATTTGACCAATTCTCCAAACTGTTTTCCTCTGTTTATTAATCATATGCCATACTGCAAAAGCACATTGCTCTCTTTATTTGACATGCATAAAAAGAACATGGGTGGCTAAATCAAAATACATTTTGCCTTATCAATTTTTTTTAGAAATATGTTCATCTTCGGAATGCAGCCAGAGAGAGCCAATCCCAGAAGCACTATACCAAAGAACTTCTCTGGTGGTTAGGTTTGTCCTTCATGGGTTTTGGTGAGCTGTTCAATTTCACAGCATATGGCTTTGCTCCAGCATCAGTGGTCGCCCCACTTGGGACAACCACTGTAGTAGGTTAGTTATTTTTTTCACTAGCGGGAGTGAAAATTGCACTTTGAAATTTGAGAATTTCTAATTTAAATGCCAATATTTTATACTTTTTCTGTTTCTTTTAGCTAATCTCTTCCTTGCTGCCATTTTCTTAAAAGAAAAAATTCGGCCTGAAAATCTCTTTGGTAAGCCTAGGTGTTTCAAATTCCTTGCTTTGATTAATTAAAGTGATTATTAACTTCCATTTATTAAATTTGAAAAAATGTAACATAAATTGCGACTAACTGCATCATTTGACACAAAGATAATGTGAGGTTTAGATGACCTAACTTGAATGCTTTCCTTGGTCTCTTAATACTCAATATTTACAAAAGACTTGTATCGAGTGGTTGCTAAACCAAAAAATCCAGAGTTCGAACCCAGTAAAGATGAGGCTCACAGCTGGGACAAAAACTTAGATGGACCAAAAGCTATAGAAGCAAATCTAGAAAGAAAAGGAGGCTGAAATTGGAGCCATGGGCCATATGGCGCATAACATGTTGACATGTAATTTATTGTAATACTTAATTGTGTTGGAGGAAATCCCATTAACATAACAATTAAGAACAAAGAAGAAAAAAGACTGGATTAAACATCTATATTTTTTCATTTAAAAAGAAAAATACCACCACATTACCGTACTTTTTAAAAATATTTTTCAAGACTTCTAAAAAAATTGTATTGTTTTTAACAATTCTACTTTGTAGGTTGTGCTTTGGCTATAATTGGAGCCTTTTTGTTGGTGACTTTCTCTAATACTGTAAGTGTAGTAACTATTCTACAAATATATAGGCTGTTTCACCTGTAGGTTTCAGCAAGTTCATATTTAAGATACATAAAAACTTACAGAAGTATTGAAACATAATGAATCAAATAATTTGTGTTTTGTATTCATTTTACATACTGGTATTAATATATATTATATAGTAAAATATGTTTATTGTATAAACCAATTTGTTGAAAATTTTTTTCAGTCTGAGAAAGTGATGGGAAGTTACGAGATAGTTAGATCCTTGTCCCAGCCCATTTTCATAGCCTATGTCGTAAGTTTACAATAATATTATTTGGTCTATGTTATCTGCTTAAGCATTTTTTCTTCTATTTGTAATCTAAAAAATTCATTTAGCTGTTCTCAAAATCCCCTCTAGTGCATTGAGGTTATTATTTTGGCTGCACTGCTCATCCTTCTGTACTGCAAGAATGTCAAACATGTTTTGCTTTATCTGCTCATATCATCCATCACAGGTGAAAGAATTTATATTTGTACATTTTCTTCTTCAGTTAAAAAAAAGTTATAATTTTTTTTACAAATGTCTTGAATTTAGTTGTTTTATATATGAATAGTAAAAATATAAATAAAAAAAAATTAAATTTTAGTTATAGAATCAACTTTAATTAGTTTTTACCTATAAATATAATAAGTAATAATATAATAAGTAATATCCTTTTTTGTGGTGGCTGATGGGAAGCTTTATTGTTTCACAGCATCATTCACTGTGATCTCTGCTAAAGCTGTATCGGGCATGATTCAGCTGTCTGCTGTTGGCTTCTCTCAGTGGACCAAGCCAGTCTTGTATGCCATGCTGGTTGTCCTTATTTTGACTTGTCTTATTCAAATCAAGTGAGTTTTTATACAGTGGTATTTTGATTTTTATCCATATAAATAATCTAGGGCCTTATACAACTTGCAGCTTATTTTAATTCAATAAAAACATTATATTCAGCCTACATCATTAGAATTTGAATTTGTGATTGAGACATTGTGGGGTTTAAACATTTTGAAATTTTAATGTTTCACATTAGTTAAAAACAAACATTTAAATCTTTTTAATGAGTTGATGTAAATCTCATTTTTCCTTTGTATTACAATGTTTTCTGCTTTGCACAAGGTTTGTTAACTTGGCCATGAAGAATTATGAGGCTACCATTGTAGTTCCTGTCAACTTTGTTATTTTTACAATCTCAGCAATACTTGCAGGTAATTTTTTTATGTTATTAAATTTTGAAAATTACTAGGATTTTAATATTTTCTCTTCATTTAGAATTAAGATTGCTCTCTCTGTTGGTTCATATGTAGTTTACTGCATGTTAAAGTTGGATTTTTTTTTATCTAGGCATAATTTTCTACAAAGAATTCTATGGAATGAATGGAATTCAGGTGACTTTGTTCCTATTCGGGTGAGTATTCCTTCAATGAGTATATAAAATAACCTATGTTAAAAAAATAACAAGCCTACTTTGTGAAGTATTTTTTGTGCTTGTAATTTTAATTTAAAAAAAAATTTGACTTTGACCCTCAGTTGTGCCCTGTCATTTATGGCAGTTTACTTTATTGCTGTTGGAAGAACTGGGAACTTCTCTGGTAACAAATCTGACCTTCACCCTCAACATGTCTCCTCTGATTTGATTCCATGTAAGATGGACATTTTGAGCACATTTCTAACATTTCCTACACTTTAATTTTTAACATTAGGAAATTTCAAATACATTTAGTTCTTTTTAAAAATCTAAATAATTAAAATACTTGGGTAAAATTTTTTTTAAAGTTTCAAGTATTTAAAAACATTTTGATTATTGTATAGCACAACCTCAACAGTTAAGGTGATTTAAAAATCTATTTTTACTTGTAGCCTGGATGCTGGCAAATGTCAACGTTGGACAGGTCCAACCCTATGGTCATGTGGAACATCTAAAGAACACAGAGAGCGATAAAGTGCCCATCCTTCAGGCTGAGGCTTTAGAAACCATTGAAGAACTCACTGAAGGCTCGGATAAACCTGATGGGGAAACTGACACAGTCTCTGTTACGTCTCTAGATATGCTCGTTGATCGGGAGAAGCTGGGGCTAGATGACAGGTCTGATTATGGAGCGACTAAGTAAATTTGGAATAGGATGGCGTGGAATGTCTAAAGTTTGATTTGGACTTGTATCCAATGGTTGTCCGTGAGTCTCCAGACTTTGACTAGTTAAAGGAAGATCAAAGCAGCTGGGCTGAAACTGACCAGAATATCCCTTCAGGGTCATAGGAACTCTTCTTTTACTGTCAAGTTTGAAATGGAACTTTCAATTTTGCATTTTAACTAAATTCAGTAGTGACATGTTTTTGTCATAATTATTTCATTTTGAATTTAAAGAAAACACGAATCAATTTTTCTGATTTTTTTGTCAGATAATTTTTGTGTATCCATGTTAACTATTCTTCATTTATATAAATGTTTAAAAAAAAACAACAACCCATGCGGTTTTAATTTATTGTAGGAATATGTTTTATTCACAAGACAACTCAATTATTTCTTTTAAAATATTGATGATATCATTATAATTCAACAATTAGATCTGTTTTTTTCAAAAGCCCATCTTTATAAAAAACATGAAATGACTATGATTGTTGTATTAACTGTGATTCTAAACTATTGTATTTTATATTGTTTTATGTTAATATTTCAAGGCTTTAGAAAAAAAAGTAATGGCATTTTATTAGACAATATTATTTTGTTGTTTAAATTTTCATTGAATATGTTAAAATGTGTAAACAATGTTTTCGGATTTTTTCTTCTTCACTTGTTGTGTGTTAAATTCAAATAAGTATAATATGTTGTTTTGTGTTAATCTTAAAGTCACTTAATTAAGCAAGTAAGGGTTGTGCAATACTTTGAACGTAGTTTATGCCTTATTTCATTATTAATTTTTAAGCATTTGTTTGATTACACAAGTATTATATGCGATGTTATTTTCAAACTTTGGATAAATATATTAACAGATACATTTTATGTACATTCTTGTAAGGTCTACACATCTGTTCTGTGAGAACAATTGTACACTAGAAAAACTAAATAATCTATTTTTTGTGTCATTGTTTGAAATCAGTACTACAGTGTGCATTCCTTACCAAAACTTTTCACCATTCCCAACACTTTGTCATAATCAAACACTTAAGATATTAAAAAAAATAACATTTTAATGTCAATAAAATAATTTTTTTCTGTTTAGATTTTAGATTAACTAAATGCTGGGTGGCTAAAAATGAAATTGTAAAATAACAAGAGTTTGATTTTTAAAAGTAATTATAAGTGTTAAAATATTCGATTCTGTTTTACTATATATAACTTATATAAACCTAATTTATATAAATTTTGTTTGCCTTGATTACTACACTTATTAAATAAATACTTTACCTTAAAGTTTAAGTCATTATGTTACATTTATGTTTTATATTGTATATTTAGTAGTATAAATCACAGGTTTATATTTAAAATGTGTTTTTAATTATAGTTATAGCAACCTGAATCTGATGCTGTAACTAACAGTTTTTTACAACTCTAGTTTGATCAACTAAGGTTTCTTTTTCCCCACATGTGATAATTGAATTTATAAATGTTTCTTGTTAAGATCAAAGACAATAAGTATTTACACTATTCTTAGACTGAATATGAGGACTTTTCTCATATTTAACCAACTGCCAAAATGGTAACTATTTATTCATGAATTTTATTATATTAATTATACAAATATTATTTAAATATTTTCTTGTTTTACTGCTGCTTTTACTTGTGTGGCTGATATTTTTACAAATACATTTCTAGTCTAGTTAATTTTAAACTATTTATTGAATTAATAGTTTATTTTATTTTCAATATATATTCCAGTTTTAAGAAAATTATATTTAAATGTGTTTTTTAGTTAACGATGTCATAACTATCATCTAGTTACTAATATATGATATTGTATATTATACTGTAAAGTCAAGGAGCTGAAAAAGAAATGTAATGAATAGTTTCATGGGTTTTCCGCTAGTGACAAAAAGTGCTGTCAAACTGTTATACAAAAATATTACATATCAGAAAAAACATTTAGCAATACATACCTCATAATTAACTGAAAATTATCTTAAGATACTTTTTATTTAAAATTTGAATATATATATATATATAACTGTTGTAAAATCAAAATAATTTATTGTTTTTGAATATTCTGTTTTTATTTTGAAGGATGTGTAATTAATGAGAATTTTTATCTTCATGTTTTGAAGTAGTATTTTCTCTAAGTAGCAAATAAATATTTATGCAAGTTAAAAAGTTTTTATTTTTAGAGGTCTATTATATATCATACTTATAACAAGAACACCATAGGATGTGGTTTATCGTATTATGTTGTGTTCTATGAAGTATGTGGGTGGTATAATTGTAATATAATGATGCTTTATTTTCTTTATTCTTTTGTACTAAATTTTTGTTGGAATGGTTGGATGAATTAGTCAACACAGGTGACTAACTCATAGTTTCCCTTCAATATCGTAAAGCTTTGGTATTTTTTTTATTTTAAGCAATTTAAAAAAAAAATGATTAGATTCTTGTAGCCAAGTTTAGATTTTTCAAACACAGTTAATGTTGTACCACTAGTAGTATCATAGGCAGGGAATGTTAGGGAGGTTAAAAATCCCCTGCCCCAAGGGCTCATGCAAGTTACCAAGTTTTGTCTAGTGTCCCTACATATTCATCCTTCCAAGAACAAATGTATTTCGTCTGCACTATGGGCCCTCAATAAAACAAAAAAGAAATACATTAGTACCCACAAAACATAGAGGCCTTTGCATTCGATTCAGTTTTATCCCTAAGCTTACGTTTCTAGATCGTATAGAATTAACGAATCTACTTTGTGAAGATGTATTAGTCAATTAACATTAGCACCTTGGCTAGATAAATACTTTTATCGTTACCTCCCTTACTTTTATAAATGATTTGCGAGATACTTTATTCGGGACATTTGGGGAAGGGGGGGGGGGGTACTACGACGGACGACCGTTGAAGTGAAACACCAGTTTAGTGGGATATGGCTTTTTTTTGCGACGGTGAGGGTGGTTTAAAAATCCTCTATGGCCAAACACCCTTAAGTCTGTGGTCAATATCTGGTGTACGAATAGGGAGTGTTTTTACTGTAGGGTGTTGGGTGTACGAATAGGCAGTGTTTTTACTATTGGGTGTCGGGTGTACGAATAGGCAGTGTTTTTACTATTGGGTGTCGGGTGTACGAATAGGCAGTGTTTTTACTGTAGCGCTCTGAGTAAGCGCTAGTGGAATTTGTCGATGCCAACTCATGTGTAATCATAAGCTTTAAGGTTTTTGAAACATATTTTCCCGTTCGTGCCCAACACACAAGGGGCAATGAAGTAGAGTGCATCTCTTTCAGAGACTTCGGCATATGAAGGGATAGTGTGGTCAGTACTATGCCCATCGACCTTCCCTTTCCACAACGTGAGTCAGGTATCTATCAGAGCTGGGTGGACTCAAGGAAGCTCTATTTGAACCCGGATTCGAACTCGAGACTTTCGGGTTAGCAATCTAGCTTTCTCCCGCTAGGCCACGCCTACTAAAATTATATAAGCGAGCACCATTTTCTTTAATAGTTGATATGGCTCGATTTTGCGTCGGGAGACAATGGATGCACCCAGAGAATAGGATTCCAAGAAACGCATACTAGGGTATTAGATAAAGATTATTGGTTGCATGCCTATCTATCCGGCCCCACTCTCAACCATTGCTGGTTTGGTCCAAAGGAATGCTAACAATCAGTGGCGAGGGGGGGGGGGTGCGGACCGCATCGGGCGACACCATTTAGGGGGGGGGTGACACCAAGGCAAAATGTATAGAGAAAAACTTAAGGGACGGTTGCATTAGTTGCAAATCGAAAGTTTGAGGGGGGGGGGGGGGGGTGCAAATCGAAAGTTTGTCACCGGGAAGGGTCGCTACTCCTCTGGGGGGTGACACCCGACCTCGCTACGCCACAGCTAACAATTACGTTTGGTACCAGATTTGATTGCGGAAGTTCACGAAAGTAACAAGGCTTAAGTTGGTGATCCTCTCGCCTAAGGGGCTCCACTCATGTTTGATTTCTGAGTTGTCTCTCTTTGTTGGGTTGCTGTCCCTAGCTATGGAGCTTTATCTGCCCTTGGTTCGAAATCAGGACTTTTTAAGCCATTTTAAGGGTTAGCAACCATGAGCTTTCAATCCCGACCAAGCACATCGTTTATGGTAAAATAAAGTTCCATTCCTAACTTTTTTTAAAGAAAAAAAAAAAGTCTCTTTTATTTCATCTTTATCTGTCAGCGCCCATTGTCGCACAAGACATCAACAAGTAAGCACCATTGTATCCTGTCTCTAGCTAGAACCTCTGAGGGTTGCAATGTTAGGCTTCTCTCCTTCAACTCCATTGATGTTCTCTGTGTTTCTTTTGGCGACCCTCGTTTTCTCTTGTCCTCTGGTCTCATTCTTAGCCAGTCTTTGATTTAGTGCTTTTAAAAAATAAATCAAATCAAATTGCATGACTAAAACACGTGCGCACCAAATGAACGTAACTAATGCGTAAAATAGGCTAGCGCGAAAAAGTACTATAATAATATTTATTTTATTCAGGTCAAATGTAATGTCAAACGTGCCAATTTTGAACCAAATCGGTTCGGTATAAAAGGCTGAGTTATCGTTTGTAGTTTTGACTAGTGTTGATTTCAGACTTTTCTCTGGGGCAGGGGGGAGGGGGAAATAACCTGAAACTTTCGGGGGGGGGGGGGGGGGAGGGGAGGGGGAGGAGTCTACATGGGTGTCTTCACTATAGGTCAAGATAGGGCAACCATTACACATTACATTAGTTGATACAAGTCCGGTAGTCAGGTTGGCTTCACATCTAAAAACCAAAAGGATTCCCAACCTAAGTAAGAAATGAAGAGTGCTTTTTGTTTTTGAGGAAAATGTGTGATAGCGAAAGCTCGTATAGGCTAGTTGCGTAAAGATAAAAGAAAAATCTGTGTATTACCGATGACGTTTTCAACAAAACATTCAAAAATTGTGCGTGACGTCACATGGAGACGCCGCACTTGTGGGCCTAAGAAGACGGTCGAATGACATGAAAACGTTGAGCTACTAGTCAATCGCTTGTTGTTATTTTAACTGGAAATGTAAGTGATTTCTTTTTTCATTTCTTTTGTTCGTTTCAGTAAATATTAGATTCTAGAATCAAATATTTTCTTCATCCTCAAGAACGTAGATCTATGTCTACAAGATCTTGATGATCAGATTCTGTATAGATTGTAGATCTAGAATAGAAGATCTGGACTAGAACTATAACTAGAGTCTACATCTAGATTCTAGATATAGATTCTAAATATAGATACAGATCCAAGAGATCTAGTGGGTCTACATTTTAGTCTAATGGTCACAAGGATATTGGAAGTAGAGTTCATCTATTTCATTGATCACGGCAAATGAAGGGACAGTGTAAGTGTACATTGTAAACTGTCTGTCAACTAAAACTCCAGCACAAGTAAATACTAATCTAGACTAGATCTAGATCTAGAAATGGGCCTTCAGTCTACTGATTCCAGATTCATGAGAGATGGATCTGAATATAGATCTAGGTTTGTAAGTAGACCTTACTAGCAGAGTTTCTTTCAGGCATCTCTTCGGAGTGGTGGTGGGGACACTCTCCCCTCCCTCCTCACTATAGCACTCCACCCCCTCATCCGGTCAAAATAGAAGAAAAAAGTATCTAGAAAAAATATATAGGCCCCACTCTAACCAGTGCCCGCACCTGCTCCTCTGAAATTTCGGATGATTCCCCCCCCCCCCCCCCCCCGCCCGAAGAAAATATCTGAAAGAAATCCTGCTTACTAGGTCTAGATCTAGATATAAAAAAACCCAAATTAGCCGATTGGTAAACATTTTCTCTTGGGAATTATTTTATAACTTTAGATCTAGATCTAAAAGAGATCCAAAAATGTTTAACTCTGAGCTGCGATCATAACATTAACCTCTCGAGGTCACTTACCCACCTGCTATTACCCCCCCCCCCCCCATTCCAATCCCTCTCCACCCGTCATCACCCACCAAAACGAGCCGATACGATGAAGGTTAATCTAGTTGGGAGCCCAGGTCTACTAACTCATTTCAATTGGTCGGACGTATCAAAGCTTTACTTAATTATACATCGGCTGGACGATTTCGATATAATATTTGCTAGAATCACAGTTCTAATCCTAGCCCTTACCATACCCATTTAGTCTCTACGGTGGTGGATAGGGGGGAAAATCCCGATTGACCGTCAAGAATGGTGTGGTAATACAAGAAAATAAAAGATGTTGCCGCCCTTTATACTACCCCCCCCCCCCCCCCCCCAGCGCCGATTTGAATACCCCAGTATACCCATGGGTGCCTACCGTTATCATGGCACCAATTGTGATTCTGTCAGGAAAAAAAAAACCCTCTATATAAATACTGTATTGTCTGGGCTTAGGACTTTACAATCCATCCATTACCCCCTCCCCCCTACCCCCCTACCCCCCAAGTTATTCTACCATCATTACCCCCTGATTAATTCTCCCTCGCCCGGGTCAATTTCCAAACGTTATCCCAAATAACCCTAATCACCTTAATCCTATCCCGATCTTAATACCTATCCCTACCCCAAAACATCCGGTGAAAATGGGAGTGGGGGAAATGACAGGTGGGTAATATCCTACAGTTATTTTGGACGGGGATAATATGCGCGGGTATAATATTGGGGTAACGAAAGGGATGACCGGGGGGTAATTGATGGGATAATATCCCACTTTGTTTTACTAGCGTTTTTACTACAACAATACAAGCAATTTTGTTAACCTTAACCCTTATCTTACCCGCGTTTTTAAAAGAGCCAAACCATGGTTAGAGTTAGTTAAAGATTATTTCAGTGAGAATTGACTAAAGTCAGATAGCTGACTTCAGTGTATGCCAGTATTGACTTCAAGCTATGTTTATTAGGTCCGCTAAATAATGATCGGCCACATACGTTTATCTGTGTTAATAACGTTTGAACATGGTTCATTACAGACCGCCAACCCCGTATTAACTAACACATCCCATTAGGTTATATAACCCACCCAATAGTTTGTTGTAAAATTCACATCTTATATAATAAAACATGTGTTCTATAACACAGCCGCCCCCATCTTATATAATACATTGGGCTTGATAATACAATACTTCCATTCTTATAACAAATCCAAATGTGTTATATAACACAGCCAGCCCCTTCTTATATACAAGATCCAAAGTTTTATAACATAGCCACCACCTTATTATATACCATTGCTAATGTGTTATATAACACTGCCAGCAATATTTAATAATTTAAAAAATTCTAGTGTGCTGTATAAAAAAAGCTGTAGACCACTGCCTTCTTCGAATACGTGCTCAACTTTGTAGAAAGCCCCTGAGTCCACCCAGCTCTAATGGGTACCTGACACACGTTAAGGAAAGTAAAGGCAGCTGGACATAGTGCTGACCACACTAACCCTTCTTTGTCGAGGTCACAGAAACAGGTGAACTCTACTTCACTTGCCCCATGGACCGTCAGGTTCGAAACTTAACTACCTCCAGCCCATATAAGACAACATACCAAAATGTTGAGACACCACTCCACTTTGTTACATAACCTGCATGATCCCTCATATGACGTATGCACTAGTTCTTGTGTGGATGTTATCGATACGTTATTCCCTTATATGACGTATGCACTATTGCTTGTGTGGATGTTATCGAGATGTTATTCCCTTATATGACGTATGCACTATTGCTTGTATGGATGTTATCGAGATGTTATTCCCTCATATGATGTATGCACTATTGCTTGTGTGGATGTTATCTAGATGTTATTCCCTTATATAACGTATGCACTATTGCTTGTGTGGATGTTATCGAGATGTTATTCCATTATATGACGTATGCACTATTGCTTGTATGGATGTTATCGAGATGTTATTCCCTCATATGATGTATGCACTATTGCTTTTGTGGATGTTATCGAGATGTTATTCCCTCATATGATGTATGCACTATTGCTTGTGTGGATGTTATCGAGATGTTATTCCCTTATATGACGTATGCACTATTGCTTGTCTGGATGTTATCGATACGTTATTCCCTTATATGACGTATGCACTATTGCTTGTATGGATGTTATCGAGATGTTATTCCCTCATATGATGTATGCACTATTGCTTGTGTGGATGTTATCGAGATGTTATTCCCTCATATGATGTATGCACTATTGCTTGTGTGGATGTTATCGAGATGTTATTCCCTCATATGACGTATGCACTATTGCTTGTGTGGATGTTATCGATACGTTATTCCCTTATATGACGTATGCACTATTGCTTGTATGGATGTTATCGATACGTTATTCCCTTATATGACGTATGCACTATTGCTTGTGTGGATGTTATCGATATGTTATTCCCTTATATGACGTATGCACTATTGCTTGTATGGATGTTATCGATATGTTATTCCCTTATATGACGTATGCACTATTGCTTGTATGGATGTTATCGATATGTTATTCCCTTATATGACGTATGCACTATTGCTTGTATGGATGTTATCGATATGTTATTCCCTTATATGACGTATGCACTATTGCTTGTATGGATGTTATCGATATGTTATTCCTATGTCTGGACAGGATGGACCACGGCTACACCGTGGGCTTGGGTAACGATCTCTATATGGACATGGGGGACAACAACGACGATGGCGGCAAACAGGAGCAGGTAACTCGTACACTCAGCGGCGGTAACTCGTTGAAATCAAACGTGACGTATATAACGTTGTTTTAACGCTAGTTTCATGTTCTCAGATGTAATCCGGGTTAGTTATACTAACCCGCCATAACCCTTAGCTTTTGATCCGACGCTAATCATGACACTAATCCTGACACTAATCATGACATGTATCCATAACTTTAACAGCTAACCCGGTAGGTAATGAAAATTCATCACAGCGATGCTAAATTTTCTGACTGTTATTTTATAAAAACAACCGTTGTTTATTTTTGCCCATCCATGCTACTTTTTCAAAAAGTAAATTTATTAAAAAAAAATTTGTGAAACCACCTACCTGGGTACGACAAGGCTAACTGTCATCTATTTTTAGATTCGCAAGGACGTCTTCCTGACTCCGGCAGTTCCTAAAAATAAGAAGAAAAAGGTCTTGGTCTCAGACGTCAAGAAGAAGAAGAAGAAGCCGGAAGATGAAGACGGCGATGGTGACGTGGAGCCGAGCCTCAAAAAGGTGAAGAAGATGTGCATGAACGATGTTCCTCTCAAGCCCGTGGGTCTGTCTCTCTCAGGGTCGGGCATGCAACTCTACGTCAAGGCGGACGGCCCCATGATGCAGGTACACACTTTGTACTACTCGTTGCTGTGATATTACCAGAGGCGTAGCGACCCCTCCATGCGCCCGGGGACATATGTACCCCCCTGTCGCTACGCCTCTGGATATTATAACACACTTTCCCTTTTGATGTTTCCAGGCGGGTGTCGACTAGAGCATCTCTAGCTACCATATATCGAACAAGGTTTCTTTCGGACTTTTTTTTCTTTATGGGGGAAGGGGACTTAAAACTTTCATGTGGGGGACAATGGTTTTGTTTGAAGTATAAATTTTCTAAATAAATTTTATCTTTTTTTACTATTTCGTAATGTGAGATGTACCCCTCGCCTCGCCTGAAGGAAACACTTATTCTCAAAGTGGCTGTGCCCCACACACTTCTTTGGCTCCATGTTTAGCGAGACAAATATTGACCAAATAGTACCGTAAACTGTGCTAGCGACCAAATGACCAAATAGTACCGTAAACTGTGTTAGCGACCAAATGACCAAATTGTAACGCACTGAGCTAGCGACCAAATGACCAAATAGTACCGTAAACTGTGTTAGCGACCAAATGACCAAATTGTAACGCACTGAGCTAGCGACAAATGACCAAATAGTACCGTAAACTGTGCTAGCGACCAAATGACCAAATAGTACCGTAAACTGTGCTAGCGACCAAATGACCAAATAGTACCGTAAACTGTGCTAGCAACCAAATAATGACCAAATTGTAATGCACTGAGCTAGCGACCAAATAATGACCAAACCTTACCGTAAACTGTGCTAGCAACAAAATAATGACCGAATTGTACCGTACACCGCGCTAGCAACCAAATAATGACCAAGTTGTACCGTACTCCGCGCTAGCAACCAAATAATGACCAAATTTTACCGTAAACTGTGCTAGCAACCAAATAATGACCAAATTGTAACGTAAACTGTGCTAGCAACCAAATAATGACCAAATTGTACCGTAAACTGTGCTAGCAACCAAATAATGACCAATTTTTACCGTAAACTGTGCTAGTGACCAAATAATGACCAAATTTTACCTTTGTACTCAATGATATGGACCTTAACCGAGTTACCTGGGATTGCTAACACAACACTTACCCAAACTCTTAACCCAATACCTTTTCATCATTCACTCGAATTATCCCTTACAATTTAAACCTTGCGTCATTATTTGCAAGTTTAACTTGATAGGACGTGTCTAACCCAAATATTTGTGCCTACAACGACCATTAAGTCTAACCCAAATATTTGTGCCTACAGCGACCATTAAGTCTAACCCAAATATTTGTGCCTACAGCGACCATTAAGTCTAACCCAAATATTTGTGCCTACAGCGACCATTAAGTCTAACCCAAATATTTGTACCTACAGCGACTGTCCGAAGATTATGAAATGGTCAATGTCAAGCCCTGTTACGAGTTCACGAAGAGGAACACTACGACCCAGACTTCCCAGTGTAGAGATGCAGCTAATGACACCTTTGATCCACTAAGGTAATTGGACTCGTCATGGTGTGTAGTAGTTAGTGTTAGTTTGATTAGGTTGTGTAGTTAGGGTGGGGTTCTTCTTCTTCTTCTTCGTGCTTAATTGTTTGTGTTGGGAGGGATCTCCCTCCAACACAATTAATTTCCTTATGTCCAACCAAGAACAAACTACAAGGCAGCAGTTGTTTGATTTTAGAGTTGTCTCTCCTAGAAGAGTGGCTGTCCCCAGCTAACGAGCCTCATCTCATTAATAACCATGAGCTTTACCGACTCGACCACGCTGACCTCTATACGGTGGGGTTCAAGTTGGGGTGGTTTAGCTATGCCGCAGGTGCTCGTCTCAAGAACACGTACCACACCCAGGTTTAAAGACCGTGGTCAACTCGTGACTGGACTACCATCACCCAACCCCCAGTATACTGTGGTCCATGGGTCCCTACAACATGTCTGTGTAGTCAGCTATGGACTATAGAACTCAGTCTGTGTAGTCAGCTATGGACTATAGAACTCAGTCTGTGTAGTCAGCTATGGACTATAGAACTCAGTCTGTGTAGTCAGCTATGGACTATAGAACTCAGGTTTACTTACCAGGTCACGTGGTGTACCCATAAGAAGTCGCCGTACTCATGTGCTCTCCATATCCAAATTAGGTGGGAGAAAGTAAATGGTTAACCCACGGGTCTAGCGGCTGGTAACAAGGGTGAGAATAAGTCTTTATCCAGTTTTAATCTGGCTTGCTTTAGAGCATAGCATTAGCCAGCTATTAGCTAGATAATCGTTTGTTTTTATCTTGGAGTTGGGGTTAAGGTTAGGCTCTGATCATATATGTTCATGGTTAGGACCAAGTTTAGGATAGCGGCAAATGATAGATTTAAATACATGGATGTTAATACACGTCGTTCCTTTTGTTTTGTATCTCCAGAGACGAGATGGCTGACAAGTGGTCAGAGAATATTAGTAACAACAAGAGACCGGAGCCAGGTACCGCAGACAGAAGTTTTCACCACAGGCAAGACCCGGGACTGCCAGAAAAAAGACAGGTCGATTTGCAGTACTTGTTTGCAGAAGACAAGGGCTACCCTAAGGTACGGGACCTGACTCAAGATCAAAGAACTTTTGCCAAGGCTTCATATCAGGGTCAAGGTCACAGAAACCTCACGAGAAGGCCTGATCAGGGTCATGAAAACAAAAGTTATGCTGCGGATTATGACTGTTGTCAGGATGAAATGACCTACGTGAAAACACCTTGTCAAGGTCAAGGCCACAGAAACATCACGAGAAGGCCTGATCAGGGTCATGAAAACAAAAGTTATGCTGCAGATTATGACTGTTGTCAGGATGAAATGACCTGTGTTAAAACAGCACACCAGGGTCAAGGTCACAGAAACATCACGAGAAGGCCTGATCAAGGGCATGAAAACAAATGCTGTGCTGATGGTTATGACAGTTGTCAAGATGAAATGACCTACGTGAAAACACCTTGTCAAGGTCACAGAAACATCACGAGAAGGCCTGATCAGGGGCATGAAACCAAATGCTGTGCTGAGGGTTATGACAGTTGTCAAGATGAAATGACCTGTGTTAAAACAGCACACCAAGGTCAAGGTCACAGAAACATCACGAGAAGGCCTGATCAGGGGCATGTAAACAAATGCTGTGCTGAGGGTTATGACAGTTGTCAAGATGAAATGACCTGTGTTAAAACAGCACACCAAGGTCAAGGTCACAGAAACATCACGAGAAGGCCTGATCAGGGTCATGAAAACAAATGCTGTGCTGAGGGTTATGACAGTTGTCAAGATGAAATGACCTGTGTTAAAACAGCACACCAGGGTCAAGGTCACAGGACCAACGTGAGGAGACCTGAGCAGACGTCTGTAGAGAAATGCTATCTTGAGGGGAGCGACTCGCACCATGACGACAGAAGCTACAGTAATAGGTGTGACCGTCATATCTCTAGACAAAAGGCCACGCCAAGATCTCAAGGCAGTGGGTCGGTTCCAGCAAAGATAAACAGGGGTGAATGGGCTGAGAGGCCTAGAACTTCACCAGACGATAGTGACCGTTTTGACGTCGGCATACAACAGATCCCGGTATATTCCCATGTCAACCCCACGCATAAAAGACCGACTAATCCAAGCCAGACCACCCCTCGGGACGTCCCCCGAAGTACGAATCGAGTCGTGGATGACAGGGCCCGGGGCACATCCCACGTCATCACTGACGACGACTATCGTGACCTGTACGAGGTCAACATTCCCGCCTCACCTACCAACGCGCATGCGCACACTTGTAAAGAGAGAAACACCTCGTACAAGACTTGGGCCTCCACCAGTCACGCAGCGGACCAACGAGACGCCCGATCTGAACCCACGCCCACGACAGCCGAGGACAGCACTCTATCAACCCTCTCCGAGTTCGACTTGTCCAGACTCCCCACCGAAGCTCTGGACGCCGTGACCTTAAAAAAGTTTGCTGAATACTCGAAACTAATGAGGCGGAGCCTGCGCCAGGAATATAAACAGATGAATCAGCTGATCAAAGACTTCACAGAGGAGATGATGGAGAGGAACAAAGCCTTGCTGGACGAGAACCAATCCAACAACACGGCCAACAACACGGACAACAACACGGAAGAAGAAATGAAAAAGGACTCGTCTTGCAGAATAATGTAAGCTGCGTGTCTTATACTAGTGCCAGTATGTATCACATTGGCCATTCTAGTTACAAATAACTCGCAAATAATTGACTTTTAAGCTCTGAATACAAAATTTAATGTGAGATGTACATTCTTACCATTTTAACTATGCATAGGTCTAGAAGATAATTGTTATGAAATATAAAATATCACCTAACATGTGTAGATGATGAATGTTATCATACTATAAAATATTACCCAAGATGTATACAAGATGATGATTGCTATTATACTATAAAGTATCACCTAAGCTGTATACAAGGTGATTGTTGTTATTAAAATAGAAGCGTATGACACAGAGAGCTATTTAAATTGACTGGTAAGAAAAGTAGGTCGTGATTGGACATGACGCCAGTTTGGAGTGACCGCTCCCTGACACCTTGAAATTAGACCGCCACTGGTGAGTTGATGTTAGAAAGAGCTACACACACTGTAACACTGTGTACTACTTTAATGACGACATTAGTTGATCCACGAACACGGGTAAAATGACCATAAGACTCAAAATGTTTTTATATCATTTTAAAGAATAAAGATTCCATTTTATAAATTGTTTTTCTGTTTTATTTATACTTAGGAAATATTCGTCCATTTTAAAGTACTTGATGTGCAAGTGTAGTAGCATACTTAGTAGTCAGCATAGTATTGAACATGCAGTGTAAATATTCGGACTTTAAAAAGCTCGAGTGATGCACTTAGCCAGACAAGTCGCACCTACAGTCTCGATCTTGTTGTACCGAACTCTTGAGATTAAAGCAACGCGACTTTATCGATATGCAACACCATGCAACATGAATGTTTCAAATGTGATCCATCGGGCAGGTGAAGCAGAGTGTACTTGTATCTGAAATCTCGGAATTAGAAGGGATTGTGTGGTCAGCATAATGCGCAGTCGTCTTTACTTTCCTTAACATATGTACTCATCCTAGTTTGGTGCACTTAAGGGTTAACAGTCATAAACTCGATATTAAAGCGCGTCATCCGATAACATTTGGTAGTAGGACGACCTTTGCCTATGTGCGTTTGTAGCCTATATGTGTTTATGAGGGGGTGGGGGGAGATAGAATGATCCTAGACAATGTATACAGCATGAGGTGTGATCGTCTAAGAAAATGTTATATTGAGTTACATTGAGTAGTTAGTTTGGACAATGTTAGATATTTGTGTTATATAAGATCTAAATCTAGGCCTAGATCTAGTAGGCTTATATATTCACATTTTGTGCTTTACTACATCTCTACATCAATGATTAAAGTGGAACGTCATCCTCAAGAGACACCAAGCAGGACTCTTCAAGATATAGTTGTAAAATATTATAGATCTACCACTTTTAAAACAAATTCGGCATGAAATTGCTACTTTTCTGTGTGTAGTTAAAAAGGAAAGAACGAAAAGTCTTTTATTAGGTTCTTTATTCCAGATGCACAACAAGGTTTTAATAAATTTGGTTTCTTCTTGTTTGTAATTCTTTAGTGAGGGGTCTACGCTCCACCTAATTTTATAACCACTGGTTGGTCACATGACCAAGGCTGACTAATCAAAACAAGCTCCAAACAAAAACAAAATGGTGACTCTTCAAAACAAATTACTGCTGTGCACCAGCATCTTTACTTTTGTATCTATTACAGCATCTGCTTCATTATTAAATTTAATAAGTGATATTGATCCATGTGAAGATGCTTGTCAAAAAACATATCCATCTCATACTTATGATAAGGTAGGTTATATCTATCTATCATTCCAGCGTATTAGGAGTGATAACTCAGTCACTGACTAGTAGGGATTTAGGTAAAAAAACACTAATCATCATATAAAAATAAAAATTACATATTCTTGTAGAGCTCAACAATATGAAAACAAAACAAAAAAGATTTTCTGTCTAGCTCAAATAGTTTTTTTTTAGCGAATTTTTTTGTGAGGGGTGGAATGCCCTTGTTTTTGCATTGGCCAATTGTGACAAGTCATGGTATGCCTGAATAAATTGAGCATAGTTATTTTATTTGCAGTTGTATTTTGTTCATATTTGCAGAGTTTAGCTAGAATGATATATAGAACTTGTATATGCTGTTGAAATAAATAAAAATAATACAGAAGTATATTTTTGTGTTGGCTTCCTTCCATAACCCCAAAAAAACTGTGCTGCGCAAATATGAAAATGTTTCTAAAGCAATGTTTTACAGTGAATGAAAGAACTACAAAGTTAGCAATCTAAAGTAAATGACTTGAACACTGAAATGTGCATATAACTGCCCCATTATTTTGGGCAGGTGAAGTAGAGTCCATCTTTAAGACATTATGTTATAAAACTGTGCTGCGCAAATATGAAAAAGTTTCTAAAGCAATGCTTTATATAAATACAGTGAATGAAAGAACTACATAGTTAGCAATCTAAAGTAAATGACTTGAACACTGTAATGTGCATATAATAGCCTTATTATTTTGGGCAGGTGAAGTAGAGTCTATCTTTAAGCCATTTTGTTAAAAGTGAACTGAAGTTATCTGATCAATGTTTTTATGTGTGTATTGTGTATGAATTCTGATTTTCAGCATATAAATATAACTGTAAGTAAGGGTAAGTAGAACTTGAATACTTAAAATTACAGTTAGCACATAGCTAGTGTAGTGTATTCTAGGCTAGCAACAGACAGGTAACCTATGTCTGACTCAGCAAAATTTTACTTCAAGCAAAACTAGAACCAGAGTTGAAAAAATGAAAGACAGGTATATTAACATATGTTTAACACTACAAGTAGGAGATTTGTTTGTACATTACATTAGAATACTGTTGTTACTGTTAGTGTATCAAAACTAAAAGCCGGCAGATCGGGATGAAGAAATATAACATTGGAGTCAATGGGGGCAACGTGACCTACTTACGGTGACTACTTTCAAATGAGTATTTACTAATGTCAAAGTCAAAATATCCAAAAATAAATATCATTTCTATAAAAATGGGATGTATCTGCTTTGGAAACTTTCATTATCTAAATGGAAACTTTTCAAAAATCGCGCTTTTAAAGCATTTGAAGTTAACCTTTATACCGCGGTAAGACCAAAGCAGAGACAGCATGCAATCAGATCGCTAAGCCATCAAAACAACTGGAAAACCATTCTACTTTTCATTTAACATTAGGAAATGACCTTTTAAACTTAATTAATTACCATAAATTAAAAACTTATTAGTATGCAAAACCAAATCTCGTGCGCCCGGTATCAGAAAGTAATGGGAGATTTCGGGTCATGTTTTTACCGCGATCTCGGCCGATACCGACAAGCCTACTGACTAGTCACTGACTGCAGCTTTGCAGAAGTCTCAGATCTAAAATCTAGAGTACTGGACTGACTTAAGATATCTATTTAGCCTATCTATTTTATTTGACCTAGTTGAATAGGCCTACTCAAGTTCAAGTAACTAACTCAATATTTTATTATTAAAAGTAGGCCTACAACAGAGTCAACAGAGGAGATGATCTCTGTTTTAGTTTAGTGTTTAGTGTTTACTCAAGTCAAGTTTACTGTTTTACTCATTTAGTGTTTTGTTTTAATTTATTTTTAAGTTTTAACTTCGTGAAGACACCTGTACTTTAAAAAAGTACTTTTGACTAGGATCTAGACAGTAGATAGACATCTCTAGATATAATCTCCTAAACTTCTATTCTAGAGTTTAAACTTATCTACTAGATCTATCTAGAATCTAGACCAAAACAATACTTACTACTTAGGATCTAGATTCTAGTACATAGACTTAGTTGGATTTAATAATAACTATAGATCTACTAACTAGGCCTAAATGATTTAATAAAATAATAAATAATTAGGGCCTAGTATAGGACTATCTATATATATATATAATTCTCCTCTGGGAGACGCTAGAAAACAAGCTGTAAGCGCACTCCCCACCCCTACATGGTCTGGTGAGCTGTGGTTCACGCTAAATATTTACATTTATTAGGGGCAGATAATTTAGTTTGAAACGATTTTAAACTATGGGGAGGTAACTAAGAGGAGGTTGCTTTCACGAGGGGGTGTGTAGGGTAGGAGTTGGGAGAAAGGAGGGTGGGGGTAGTATCGTCCTTAACGACCTACTGATACTGTTTTAAAGCAAATATTTTCAGTGGCAGCATTGGTACTGTCGAATTCACAAATTATGAATTACTGAAAAGTAGAAAATAAAACTAAATAGCGGCGTATAATATACCGCGGGTCGGCTCGTATATTATAATATAGTATAGGTATAAAGGTGTAAAACGTAAGGTAAGGCTCAATTGATTCTAATAACTAATTAGAGTTAAGGTCTAGACCAGGCATGAGTAGTTTAGGGACAGACTACAAATGACTGCTTTTTGTTACATTTATTTAGAGCAGGGGTCTCCAAACTACGGCTGGATGCGACCCGCGAGATCCTCTCATCCGGCCCTCGGAGATAGTTTTGTCCACGGAAAAAGAAATGTTTGTTGGAGGTGGCTGAGGAAAAAAGTCTAAACAAATTGAAAATTTAGCATTGGGTGCAAATGTCACTGAAGCAAATGTGGCCAGTTGCCCATCAAATGACCTTAAAGGGCGGGTGGGTGGGTTTAATAAGTATTTGCCCAAGGAAAACTTTCCTAATATTACAATGTTTGCATCAAAGTACCTTTCAATATTCGGAACAACATACAAACATTTTCAAGAATGAAGTAGGCCTACGTGAAGAACAATTTGAGAACAAACTTGGATCTCGAGTGTGTTGTCAGTCCCCGAAAGTGTTTTTCTCAGACTTTTTTGTCGGGGGGGGGGGGGGGACAACTTGAAATTTATATATATATTTCAAAATAAATCTAATTTCGTTGGGGTGGGGGGGGGGGGGAGACGTTCTTCGGGGAGGGGGTCTCTATCATCCCGAACAGATGCCTGGAAGAAACTCTAGCCCCCAAACTGATATTTGATAGTCAATGCGGCCCTCGAGTTGTAAAGTTTGGAGACCCCTGATTTAGAGCAATGAAAAACTATGTATGAAAAATACTATTCATTACTCCAGAACTAAACTAGTGCACATCTATTTATAAATTAATATTGATAGGCCTACTCTAAACTAATTAGGCTTATCAATAAAAGTAATGGCCTATTACTAATATAATATTAATTTATTACTAATACTATTATTTCCCTCACTATAAGATGAGATAATCGCTACTTGATCTGGCAGTACCATTTGATTTTTAAATTAGTTTTGGTTTGGAAACTTGATATCTACCGGTATTTTGAGATGGCACTTAACTGTTAACAAAGTGAGCAGATTAACAAAAACACCCACACTCTGTAGTGTACAAATGCAGACTTTTAAAAATAAATACTTTACAAGCATGTGTTTACTAAATTGACTTTAAACATAACTATAATTCTGTTATAATTTTAGAGCCAATCAATAGAGTGTTGCAAGCGAGGATGTCGTCTTTATTCAATTATTGAGCTGGTTGGGGAAGAAGATAGCATCAATGGAACTCTCAAATCATGTTTTGATAGTAAGTAATTCACCCCTTTGTCATGTGTGATCATGTGTATTCTTTATTTAGATTTAGCTAGGTTAAAATTTCTTGATTTTAATCCATCGGTTGAAACTAAAATTTCTTGACTCTAATCTATTAGTTGAAGCTAAAATTTCTTGACTCTAATCTATTAGTTGAAGCTAAAATTTCTTGACTTGAATCTATTGGTTGAAGCTAAAGCCAGATATGTGCTTGTTTCAGACTGCAATGATGCCTACCCTGGAGACACTGATGAGACTTCAGCCTGTTCACTGGGGTGCAGTAGTCAAAAACCTTTCACAGACAAATGGGGCCATGTAAGGCATTATGGTGATAGACATTGCTCAGGGAATCTTAAGTATTACATAGTTATAAAAATTCAAGAGAATTGAAGGTTTTAAGGTCATCCAATTTCTTATACCAAATATTATTGGGCTAACATTTTATAATTTGTCCATAAATAATAGGGTTGTATAATGAGAATTAAAAATTGTGCTTTCAAAGGTTTTAATTTTTAAAACATTTAAAAAGTACTGTTTAATATTTAGAGGTTAAAACTGATATTTATATAATGGAACAAATATTAGAATTTCTGAAGAATTTAATTAATAAATTACACTCATTCTTGTTTGTATGTATACTTATACATACTTAAACTTAAACATAAATAGCAAGAAAGTATATTTAATTTAGACTAGTGTAAGATCTCATTGACTTAAAGCACTGTGTGGCACGTTGACAGAAGAATTTGTCTTTCCTCAGCTGGTGGATATGGACTCTGATTTCATGCATGAAGGGATGCCCAGGATGATGTATCCATTCTTGTATATGCACAACATGTATAGCAATATGGTGGACAAAGTGACCCATCACATGTCAGTATCCTGGTCATTTTTTATGCAAGATGGCAGTGGGAGGCTTGTGGTGATCAAGTCTCAGCCTCAGGTGCTGGATATGGATGTACAAGATTTTGATGGTAAATATAGACATAGTTTGTTGTTTAGTTATTTTATTAGTTCATGTTTTGTTGTACAAAATTAACATAGGTATAAACAAGTAAATGGATGATGTAGTTTATTGGTAAGTCTGTTGGATTTAAATTTGTATTGCAATCTATCAAATATAGGCCTTAAAAATATATTTTAAAATGTATTTTCAATTTTTCTAGTGAATGTGTTTTTTTTTTAAAAAGATTTTCAAATTCAAATTGAACATAACAAATAGATTGATAATTTCATCTGTTTGCATAATTTGCTAGGTAAATCTGAATGATTTTTTAAATGAACATTTAACTTGAACCTCTTGGGTTTAATGTAACTTTTATATAGATATGGCATTCTTAATAGACTCTTGTGGGTTTTTCATAGTGTGTTACTTTTCATTTAAGACTACTCAGCCTTCAAAGGAACGAGCTCAATGATTGAAACCAACATCGAGGCATCAGACAACACAGCCACAGAGGTGCTGAGGCACTCACAGATGAAGTCAGCCAGAGGTTTTACAGATGAGCTCAATGCAGCCGAGGTAGACCAGCCTCAGTGTTTGATTTGTTTCTCACCCTCCATGATGGTTTGAGTTGCTTAGCAACTATGATTTTAACTTGATCACTCTGCCCTAAAGCATTTTCAACACTGGTTTTACTGGGGAATGCTGTTAGGAATTTGATCTGTATCGTATTTGAGTAATGATAATATTTTTTCTTTCCAAAATATCATGCTAAGAAATGTCAGATTTACTTTCTAGCAACATTATACCAAACATATTACTTAACTACTTTAAAAAAAAACCAAAGGTCGAGAAGAAAACTTATGCTACAAATGTGTGCCCATTGTGTTTATAGTTGAAAAGACTAAGATCCCAAAATTGTTATCCTTAAAGCCCTTCAATCTCATGTTTTTTGCTCTAGCTCTAAGTACTTGAGTTGTAAAATGACTCATGCCATCATGGAGAATTCCATCTGTGCCTCACTTCTTTATTATAAGTTAGGCCTACTTTATTTGATTCAGTTTTTTCAGCTGTAGCTGTGTAAAAAATGTTAAACTTTGTATTGTAGGCTGAGCCATGGAAGCTGAATGACAACAGCAGCGACTGGCTGACATGTATCGCACGCAAGACTGGCATTCCTCGTCTAATTTTGTGTATGATCATCCTGTTTAGCGCCATTGCTATGATATGGCTGTGTATGTCGGCTGCTGTCACTGCACCTGAGCAAAGATTTCCACAGGTAATTTCTCTTCAGGTGCATCAGATAATTTGCAGATAATGAGTAAGATTCTTTATGTAGCTCTAATCACAAGATTATTTTCCAGCAAACATTAGAAACTACTAAAGACATCTTGCATGGTGTTAACCACAGCTGTCATTAAGTTGTATGGGGTCCATGGCTCATGGAGAAAGTGGGGAGCCACTAAAATCTGCCACTTATGCTGTGCATTGATATGTGTATTCAACCACCCCCATCTCTTCCCCAGATCTTCCCAAAAGGTTTTTTCACTTTAGACTCAATGTACTTAAGAGGGTGATGTTAAAGGATACCCACTCAGACCTGGCAGTCAATAGGGCAGATGTGGTAGAGTTTATCTGTTTCTGTGACCTTAACATCAGTGTTTTATTTCTGACAGGGAGGGGGGGGGGGGGTGTTACACTGGTTGAAGTTAGTAATTTCTCCCAGAAGAGATGCCTGAAAAAATGCTTGGCATATAAAGGTATAGTGTTGTTAATTCCATGCCCAGGTGCCCTTACTTCCTCTAGCATGAGTTATGTCATCAGTGCCTATAGGGAACTAGTCAAAAACCTTTCACAGCCTACTGGGGCCATGTAAGCCATTACCATGGTAGAGAATACTTAGAGCTCTCAGACTCTCCCAACCAGAGGATAAAACCCCAGCAGAGATGTTTCAAATTTCTTTGTAAGCCCCACCACTAGTAATGAGAAAGCTCCTGCTGTGTTACCTAGTTTGATGTTTCCTGCTTTGTTCCATTAGCAGAAGCTGAGCATAAGTGGAGACCTGGAGTACCTGCGCTACCTGCCTGACAAGAAGGGCATCAAGGGCATCCACCCTCAAGACTTTATAGAGGCCAGGCCCCTACCTGTTAAAATCCACGTGGAGAAGATCTAAAGGGAACACTTTGTTTGCTATGTAAACCAGTCCCAGAAAACTGAACCAGTTTCTTTTTTATCTTGGGTTTTCTTTGCTTTATTGCTCATTCATTTGTGGGGTTTCAATTTTTGGGAGCACCAATGTTTATACATTAAATGGTCTCCTTCTGCATAGTTTAGTTGTAAGTTCTAAATCTTATGAGAATGGTTAAAAATGAAATACTGTCCATCTATAACATGACCAGTGTTACTTTAATATATTATGTTCTGATTATGCTTTTGTAGTTGAGCATATTTAATGTATAAATATTTGTTACTCTTTTCATCTTTGCAATAATTTTTTTCATACTGATCTGGTATTGTTTTTATAGATTTAGATGTAGAGCTATGAATTGTTGTCTCAAAAAACAAACTCAGTGAATACCATCTTTAAAAAAACATTTCTCAATGAAATTATTGAAACATTTAATCAAATGAAAAACATTGTGTTTACAATTTCAATGAAACAAAATCTAAACCACAAAGTAAACTGCAGCAAAAGTTTTTAACTGCTGTACCCTGGTATCTGACATGTGGTAAACATTTTGTCCAGTGATTGAATGTAATTTGATCACAAGAAACTCACCAGGCCTTTCTTACCTCATCAGTGTTGTATAGGCATTCAGATCATGCTGATTTTAGTCAAGGAAGAAACATATCATTTTGTGTATTGACTGACATTTTATCTTATTTCCTTTTAGGTAAAAAGGAAATTTTTTTTCTTCTTTACTCTGTGTTTGAAAATGAAAAGAAAATGATCTTGAAGAAAGTTTTCTAATGGCTAGTCAAGTGTTTGTGTCAAGTCTGTTTTCACTTTCTCTGTTGACCTCAGTCATGGTAACACCTAAACTCCACTAGGACAGTCTAGTGGAGGGTGGGTCCGTTTTCATATGTAACTTATTTTGTGTATACTTCATCATCAAACCAAATGTGTGTAAGGTTGTTAAAAAAACCAGTGTGCCATTAGAACTTCTTGGTCATTGGTTTAACATTGTCTTGTTATTACATGGAAATTAATTTTCTGCAGTGTAATCATTATAATTCCCTCCAGTTACAGAATATCTTTTACTATGAGTATCATGATAGCTCCTTCTCCACACCCTTTCCCCTCTTTACCAATATTTACTCATTACCATTTTACTTGGTTTCTACAGCCTGTATGTTTATTCAGTATGAGCCATTCAAACTTACATAAAGTGAATGTAAAACCTAGCACCTGATGTCCACCTGTAGGAAGGGAGAAATATTTATTTTCTATTTTGGTTCTGTGATTCTGTGTATAAACTTTTCCCCCCAGTAATTCCATTTTTTGTTTCGTATATTATTAAAGTGCATTTTTGTTTTTTCATTTACCAGAAGTATAAAATCTTGGAAAGTTGTAATTATCCATCAGAATTTGGTGACATTGTTGTTTGCTGTGTGTTACAGCATATTTTTTATTTTATGAAAAAAAAAAGAGATACAGCAGGAATGTTTACTTGCTTGGACCGTGTGAAATATTGGTGTATTCCATGCACTAAAAAAATATGGATGCTGAATTAAGTCCATATTTTGTCACATTTACTTGGAGCAATTTGTTAGTTAATTAGAACTATTACAGTTTATGATTGGCTTCCCTAATTTTTTATCAGCAAGTGTTTAGTGGTGGTGGTTGTTTGATGGGTTCTTTTTCTAAAGCAATTTTTTAGCATCCAGTTAGGTAATTGTGGTAATTTTGGTAGGGCAATTTTTTTTAGCATTCAGTTAGTTTATGGTGGTAATTTTGGTAGGGCAATTTTTTTAGCATTCAGTTAGTTAATGGTGGTAATTTAGGTAGGGCATTTTTTTTAGCATTCAGTTAGTTAATGGTGGTAATTTTGGTAGGGCATTTTTTTTAGCATTCAATTAGTTAATGGTGGTAATTTTGGTAGGGCATTTTTTTTAGCATTCAATTAGTTAATGGTGGTAATTTTGGTAGGGCATTTTTTTTAGCATTCAGTTAGTTAATGGTGGTAATTTTGGTAGGGCAATTTTTTTAGCATTCAGTACGTTAATGGTGGTAATTTTGGTAGGGCAATTTTTTTAGCATTCAGTTAGTTAATGGTGGTAATTTTGGTAGGGCTGTATTGAATGTATGTCTGTTATTTATATGGGATGTTGGATCAAAATAAAACATTGGTCACAAAAAAGTTTTTATGTCGATTTTATTCACATATTGATGAAATATACAAACATCTTTAATATTGTTACACTATAATGAGTGAAGACAGATGGAATCAATGCTGCTACATTGACCTGAATGGTATCATTAAGATGGATGTTATGTTCCTACATTGACCTAAATATTATCATTAAGCTGGATGTTATGTTCCTACATTGACCTGAAGTGTCACACGCTTATGTCTGTTGTTAAATCCACTAATGCATAGTTTATGAAAATTAATTTTGAAATAGTTTTCTTCATACCTATTTACACAAAGATATAATTTTTCACACCTAACATGTCCATTTGTGAAGTAGAGTTCACCTGTTTCTGCATCCTCAACATAAGGAGGAATAGTGTGGTCAGCACCAGTGTTTCTTCCAGACTTTTTTCTCCGGGGGGGGGGGGGGGGGGGCACTTGAAATTTTCGGGGGGGCGGTAGACTTTCTTCGGGGGGGGGGGGGGGGGCGGGCACTGTTAAAAGTATATATTTTCTATATAAATTATATATATGTCTGGAAGAAACTCCGGTCAGCACTAAGCCGAATTTGGTCACCAACGTGAGTCGACAGGTACCTATAAGAGATTAGTGGATCCAGAGACACGCAAACATGCCGTCCCATTGACAGAAAATAGGGTGCAGGAATAACATCAGTTTTAGTAGAGTCGCTGAAGCTCATGGTTGCTAAACCGGAAAATCTAGAGTTCGAACCCTCGGGCACATGAGGCTCGTTAGCGCTGGGGACAGCCACTCTTCTAGGAGAGACAGCTCCTAAATCAAAAAACGTGGTTTGACAAAGACTATGGAAGCAAATAAAAAAAAATGCAGACTAAATCCGGAATCAATGGCTTCAATGACGCATAGCCAGTTGACACGTATACTTAATTGTGTTGGAGGGGAATTTTTCCAACACTAAAATTAAGAACGAAGAAGACTTAGTGACAATACAACTTTAAACTAAGTGGCGTTGCTAGGTCGGGTGTCACCCCCATTATATATATATATATATATATATATATATATATATATATATATATATATATATATATATATATATATATATATATATGTATGTATATATATGTATATATATATGTGTATATATATATATATATATATATATATATATATATATATATATATATATATATATATATATATATATATATATATGTATATATTATGTATGTATACATACATATATGTCTATATGTGTAGGGATGTCGATTTTTTAAATCATGAAGTTAAGTAGAATAATTTGACACTTATGTTATCAGAATAAATACATTGACGATGTTAGCGAGAGCTTATAAGGAGAAATTTAGAGTCGTTTACTTTACTTTACTGCAAGCATATACTTCCTCCCGTGAACACCTCACTTTTTGTGCTCACGATAATATGTTGCGGAATGGCAACAGTATGCCATATTGGGTTAAATGTAAGGATCATAACTGACATCACGCTCATGGACACTGACAATTAAAAAAAGAAATATTATAATACCGTACTATATCGGTTGTTTCGTAATATTAAAAAAAAGTGTAGGCCCCTACCTTAATTGATACAGCCTTATCAATATTATAGTATGAAAGGGTTGTTTAAAAAAATTGTTTTTTGGATGGGGTGGAGGTCGGGGTAGCTAAAATGTGACGTCATTTATGAAGACTTAAAAGAAATTTAAAAAATGTCACCCCTAATGTTCAGCGAAAAAAAAAATGGAGTAAATAGAAAAGAGGTTACCATTTTGATGTAAAAATGACAAAAAGAAAGGAAAGAAATAAACTATTATAGAAAAAATTCTCGTCATCAGGTTTGAGATATCACGTGATAAAGGTCCCCCCTTCGGGCACGACGCCCTCACCACTCCTTGTCAATCAACGCCCGGGACAGCTCCGACACCTCGTACATGCAGGAGCCAGGTGTGTCGTCCACAGCCACGCCCACAACAACACATGTGTTGGTCTTCTGTGTCACCAGGATCTTCTCCCCGTTGCGCCCCACCAGCTTGTTGCTACCGTGTGCGAAACACGTGTACACCTGAAGAATAAAGTGACGTCATTTCAGATCTGGCACCCCACCTAGCGACGCCAATGGTTGGCCATGATTACATACGGCAAAAAGATAATCTGACTGGATATTTAACAGATCACTACCTAACTAGGAACGCTAACTTGTATATATATATATATATATATATATATATATATATATATATATATATATATATATATATATATATATATATATATATATATATGACATCAATATAGATCACTCATATTATCTAACATTTCTATTTACAAGTGGCCCGGGGACAAACTTTTCGATTTGCACCCCTCCCCCTCAAGATTTCTATTTGCACCCCCCCCCCCTAAAACTTTCGATTTGCACACCCCTCAACCTTTCAATTTATTTTTCCAACCCATTTTGGCGCCCACTGAGGTCGGCGCCCGGGGACATATGTCCCCCCGCCCCCCCCCCCTTCGCTACGCTACTGAGAGGGGGTGACACCATGAGGTGGCGCACTGGGTGACACGTGACCTAGCGGAGCCACTGTTTAAATGTTCTAGAGGTTCACAGTAAACAATAAACGTGTGATAAAACCAACAATACACGTGTGATAAAACCAACAATACACGTGTGATAAAACCAACAATACACGTGTGATAAAACCGCACGTGTAGAAATAAGGTCACACCTTATCACCTTTTCCCGTTCGTGCACTAAATACATGGGGCAGATGAAGTACATGTCATTCGCCTTTGTTTTCCCTAACGTGAGGGAGCCCAGATTCAAACTCGAGACTTTCGGGTTAGTAGTCTAGCTCTCTACCGCTAGGCCACGCCGTCCCAAAAACCTTCAACAAAACCATATATATATATATATATATATATATATATATATATATATATATATATATATATATATATATATATATATATATATATATATATATATATATATATAAAACCAAACCTTATCAGCCCATAAACCCTAACCACGCCGCTCACCTCACGCCCGATAGCCAGCTTCAGCATCAGCTGTTGTGGGCACGTGACCGCCTTGACCAGCCCCACGAGGTCCTGGCTGGAGAGGTCCCACGTGGGCAGGGACACCAGCATGGCGTTGCTCGTCTGCTCCACCACCGCCACCTGCTTGACCTTGCCGCGGTTCAGCAACTCTTGCATCACCAGCAGGAGATCGGCCTTGAACTTGGCCGGAACCCTTGACCCTGGATCTGTAATCAGCCACGGGGCTCTGATCAGTTGAGATCCTGGTCAAAACACTCAGGACATAACCCCCCCCCCCTGGACATAAATCCCATGGACATACCCCCCCCCCCCGACATAAACCCCCTGGACAAAAACCCCCGTGACATAAACCCCCCTGGATAATAAGTCCCCGACTGAGGTTTATATAAGGAAATAATAAGGATGATGAGAACCAAGAAAAACGAAATAAAATTAAATTAAATTAATGTAACTGGTTGACGTCTACTAACGATACACATGTATGCATGCACAAGCATGCACAAACGTACACACACGCACAAACACACACACGTTTTGACACGTCCAATATACACAAAAAATTAAATTAAAGAATTAATTAAAAACTACATCAATCCAAAACTTTGCCGGGGTATTCTTTCTGCCCCCCCCCCCCTTAATATTATTTTGGCGTAAGCCACACTCAGCCGCTAAGAATACTAGTCCAATGGTTCTCAAGTTCTTCCCCACCCTGCCCATCCTGAACTAACAACACGTCACAATGTTACTTTTCTTAAATCACAAACTCCCCAAACAGCCCTTCACAAACCGCGCCTAACATATATATTTACGTACGGCACATTCTCACGTCAAGAACTCACCCTTGACACTGTCGTCATCGCTATCGTCGACCGTCTCCAGGACGACGCTCCTCTTCCGTATGGAGTTCTTCCTCCTTAGCGCGCCGTAGTTCTTCCCGTCAGTGTATTCCGTGTCCGCAAAGCTCAGCTCGTGCAGGAGTTTCTTGGGCTTATCCGGCAAATCGGAAGTTGATGCCAGACGCATGGACTGGGACCGACCCACGGGCTGGGACCGAGTCTCGGGCTTGGACCGACCCTCGGGCGGGGACTTCAAGGATTTCTGGAACTGGCTCAGCGGGTTGTTCTCCGGGGTCAAAGAGAAGCTTCGGGTCTGAGGGCGAGTAGACTGTATGTCTCCAAAGTCAGTCGGTCTTCGAGAGATAGACTCGGCGAAACTGGAATCTTCGTTTACTTTGATACAAGGCAGACGGCGGGCCGGTTTTGATGCCGGTAAACTTTCACCAATTTCTCTGGTTTCTTGAATAGTCTTTGAATTGTTCCCGATAGATTGGTCTTTTTCGTTTTCTGAACCTTGTAAATATTGGTTTTGTTTATTGGGAATATTTTCTCTTAAAATGTTTTGTTTTACTGCATAATCAGAACTAACAGGTGCATATTTGGGTTGAGGTTCTGAGTCAGGGAAATTTTGCTTGAAGTTTCCATTTGAAGAGCAAGCGCCGTAGTTATAATCTCTAAACTTTGCTATTTCTTCATTCTCCTTCAAAGTTTGCATCGCGGGTTTTCCCTTCACTTCAGCCGTAGGAGCTATTTTTAAATCAGCGTCGCTGTGTTTTGTGAACTCCCCAATTTGAAGAGCACCAGTACTGTTCTTGGCTGGTGGATTTTCCGTTTTAGTTTTAGAACTTGTTGCTTGCGTTTGATGTTTTCGACTGAAGTTCGGCGAACTGCCTTCGTCATATTCAAAAGCAAAGTTTATGCAAGAAGTTGGGTCCACGTGTTCATCTTTGACGATTTTCCCCCTCTTCTTTGTCTTTTTCTGGTTAATTTCTACCCACTGAAACCCGTCTGTTGGTTCCTCTAAATGTGGACTTGGTGTCCTAGCAACATGACCACTCTCTGGTGGCTTGAGTTCAGTTTCAGTTTGTTGTGGCGCTGAACCACGCCTAGTCTTCGAACTACGTGGAGAAACAACATCACTGACTCGTCTAGGCGACCGGGGCATATCACGTGATGGTGTCTCTTCGATCACATGACTTCTATTTGCTTCCAAACCACCTTTGGGTTGTTTTTCCTTGTTTGTACTCCCTACTTTCGATTTCGTCACTTCAGTAGTTTTGGCAGGGGATTTGGCATAAACCTGGCCATCTGAGTGTTCAGGTGTGTTGGCCGATGACTTGCCAGAATGCGCGTCAGTAGAAGACTTCGTTTTGGATTTGGTCCCTCTGGTAAGTGCTGCCTCGTCTTCGCGGATTGGCCTTGAGTACCTGTTCTCCGATCTCCTAGTAGCATCTCTCGACATTTTCTTTGTGTAACTGTTTTACTGTTGGCAACAAGAATTATCATGTGACTTTTTCATCGGGTATGTTGTTGGTGAGAATTTTAAAAATGCACACGAGGTTAGCAAGCACAATAGAAATGTCTACCTTGAACTAGCCTGCTTCTAAAAATAGATGACCGACCTTGACCGCCGAGGCAACTGTCGCATATCACATGTTGCATGTCAATGTATGTTAAAAGATAAATGGCTAAACCGCTTACCGCCAGCGTTTTAAAAAGATGAATTAATTCATTTATACAGGAATGTTTAGGGAATGAAACAAATGAATAATTAGTTTGTTAACTGTATTAGAAGACCCTTTTGAATTGTGATTCCCATGAAATGTAGGCAATACAAAATCGTCGGTAATAGATTATTTTATTGATACGACCAATAGATGGTAATCTTAAACAAATACAGTTTACATAGGCGAGCAGTCAGAGGAATAATGACATTTGTGACACTCACATGGGGTACTATGTTTATGCTGTTCACCCTAGGCTCATATAAAGTAATATATGATGTTCAGCCTAGGCTCATATAAGGTAATATATGATGTTCACCCTACTCTCATATAAGGTAATATATGATGTGTACACTAGGCTCACATAAAGTAATATATGATATGTACTCTAGGCTCATATACAGTAATATATTATATATACTCTAGGTTCATATAAGGTAATACATGATTTTAAACACCAATACAAAAAAAAACAACACGTAAGTAAAACAATATATTAACACGCTTTTAAATACTAAATAAACGAAGAAACATTGTTTTTCTATAACTATAATCTAATAGTATAGTCATTGATCAATAAAATATTTTGAAAATATTTTTTAGCGAACAAGGCTTATTATAATGTAAACATTAAACTTGCTTCAGTGTACACTGTGGTTAAAGTTTGCAAAAATATAAGAATAGTCAAATGTAAGTTATACAAATAATTAATGTTGTTGCTAATTAACTTGGCATTTCCCGAAATATTTGTCTTAAACTAATAAGTAGCCTGCGATGTCTAAACTGTAATGAGTATCATCTGTCCATTGTTATCGTCCAACTCCAGAGACGTAGCAACCTTTCCCGGTCGGCGCCTGGGGACATATGTCCCCCCCCCCCTGCCCCCCCCCCCCCCCCCCATCGCTACGCCTCTGTCCAACTCAGCTCATAGAGAAGTGGACACCAACTCTAAGATCGTTTGCTGGTCGATCCTTTTTGTCTATTATAGTAAGTAAGGTTTGAGGTAATATTTTCTGATAATTTAATAGAATAGGGTGGTCGAATAGTAGAGCATACGAATGCTAAACAGTAAGTCTGGAATATGAAACTGGGTTCAAGTCCGTAAGAAGGTTCATGAGTCCACCCAGCTCTAATGCGTACCTGACACGTTAGGGAAAGTAAAGGCTGCTGACTACACTATCCCTTTAAATGCCCAGGTCACAGAAGAAGATGAGCTAGAAAATACAATCCAAACCTTGGAAATACGAAGTTATAGGAAGTTACAAAGATCGTATTTTTAATGACATAGTTCATGTTAGGACCCAAAGATTGATTGGTCAACATGACGATCTACTCATAGACATAAAAACTAAATGGTACGGATCGATTGGTCATCATGACGATCTACTGATAGCCATAACAACTAAATGGTACTGATAGTCGCAAGGTTGTCTAAGCAGCGAGCAATAGAAAAAAAATCTGAAGACAAGATCTGAAAATGGGAGGTTTGAACACTGCGAGAGGCATTAATGATGGATGAGGACTGAGTGGTATATAGGGACATCATCAATAGGACACTTCGGTTGTATAGGGGTAAGTATGGCGGCCGGCCATAGTGTTGACCACACCATCCCCTCATATGCCGAGGTCAAGAAACATATGATTTCTAATCTCATTTGCTCAATGGATCGCTAGGTCTAAAGAGGAATCTTTAATTGTACTATCAGTAAGACACTAGTAGTAGTAGTATTACCCCAACTATCACTCTAGATTATATGACCGAAGAAGAAAATAGAATAACTAAACGTATGAAACTTTCTATTAGCACTACATACCATTCTAATCAGCAATCTACTGTCTATTCCGCTTAATCGAGACACTTGGTCATTTAGACAGAAGTTTATTTTGGCCAAATTAGAAAGAATAAATCCGGGAAGTGTATAATCTTGAACATCGCATAATCAGATCAGCCGCTTACTTGGACAAAACGCATCCGTCCGGATGTGTCCCGATTAAGCGCAGATGAATGCACTCATACCACGTATGTTGCTTTATACTGAGGCGTCACAGGCGATGTTTTAATTAAAGTTTCTATCGACACAAAGTACATGTAGCATGTTTATATAATCTTCAGAATTTAAAATATTGCAGTCTTTGTTATTTCGTAGTCCTTTTATTTTAGTTCAATCGATGTAGTATTTTTTCCTGGATGTTAATTAGACATTTTCTCATTTCGGGTTATCCAAGCAATCTCGGAGAAATCCGCGGCGCATATAGATACGAACTCATACACAGAAATTATGGCGACATACATATAGAGAGGGTCTAACATTGTGTTTAAGCTTGAAGCAGCTGTAGGTTATGGGAACTGGCGTCCATTTAAACGCTCGCTATGTTAAGAAAATTAAGTAACACTCAATATGTCGATATCAACTGTTGCCAGAATCTATGTTTGTAAAATGTTATGTGGTTGTATCAACTGTTGTCAGAATCTATGTTTGTAAAATGTTATGTGGTTGTATCAACTGTTGTCAAAATCTATGTTTGTAAAATGTTATGTGGTTGTATCAACTGTTGCCAGAATCTATGTTTGTAAAATGTTATGTGGTTGCTTGTCATGTACAACATACAGGGGTAGCCGGCAAGTTGTCTGTATGTTGTTTCATGTTTTATGGGGAATGTGGGTAGATATTTAGCGCTCTTTGATTTTCTTTAACTTAATTCCAATGGTTGTCTGTTATAAGCAGTGTTTCTTTCAGACTTTTTTCTTTTTTCTCGGGGGTGGGGTGGGGGGTGGGGGGGGGGGGTGGGGTGGGGATGGGGGGGGGGGGGGAGAGACTAGTAAAAGTATAATTTCTATATAAATTCTATTTTGAGGGGGACGGGACACTGGTAAGAATAGACCAGAATAGTCCCTGGTGCATGCATGTATATTTTCCTTTAACCCCCTAACTTAGATACACACAAAGAAATACACAAGGCTTACTAAATAAGACGGTTTTTTTTTCTCCGGAGCCTAAGCCCTTGATTTGGTGTCACACAAACAATGTATAAAACAGTGAAATCAGTCTGTCGAGGCAAGTAGCAGTATATTTACTTAACTTTAACTATGTACAACTCAATAGTGCAGCTCTCCCAATAGCTGCCCCCTAAGGTGGGGCGCCCGAGCGGATGCCCCACCCGCCCTTCCCCTAGCCCCACCCGCCCTTCCCCTAGCCACGCCTCTGATATGGTAAATAGGCGCTGCGTATTCAAATTGGTGTTGCATAAGTCGTTACTTAATCGCGAGCTGAAACACAGACTACTTTACCCCCCCCCCCCCCCCCCCCCCCACCCCGTAAACAAACGATCAAAAGTAATCTTTTACTCACCCACAACAGCTATCGCATTGCTCACTACAAATCTCACAAGACAGGTACACAAAATAAAATCTTCGATCTTCCTATGGCCGACAAGAAACCACTCACTGCCTGTAGATACTCGTCTATTGTTTCCTATTGCCTGATCAGCTCACCAAGTTTGTAATCGTGCACATACTGGAGCACACTGACTCACGCCCGACTCGTAAACACAGTTGACCTCTTTAAAAAGTTTGATTCGATTTGAAGTATCAACGAAAGCAACACCTGTTAGCTATAGACATACATACATACCAAGCTGCGCAGTCTGATCGCCCCAAAGTTGGTCTAAAACTGTTCAAACTTATCTGGCAATTCTACTGCGCTTCAGTTTCAGTCTTTTTAAAACTGCTAGGCCTAATTACCAATAATTAAATTATTTTAATGAAAAGATTAATACAAATTTTAACACTTACAAGAGGAGTAAATATAATTCGTTAACTAATTATATGCACCATGATTTTTTAGGCCTACTTAAAAAATTTAAAGATTTCGTCGATATTGTTTATTTAATAAGTTGTAAATTTATACATAAACTTCTAAATTTACATACATATACATATTCATATTTGTAATGAGAAGTTCATAAATAATGTCACACATCTTGCAGGTGGTGGTGGAGTGGGTGGGTGGGGTGGGGGAGGGGGGGGTCGTTTCGATTTTCGTGACGATGCTGTATGTCGGGTAAGAAGTGTGAGCTTATTATGACACGTCGTTAATGCAATCGTCCACTAATTATAAAGATGTTTGTTGATTGGTATCTCAGTAAAGATACACAACTATAACACAAAAAGGGTTTCTCAAAACGATGGGTTAAAAGTAACTTAAACTAGCTAATAGTTCCTAAATTACAAGTATTAAAAAGTAATCTCCCCTCACCCAAAGTTCATGCAGGTTAGACAACTCATTGCACTATCACCTTGTTATTTCCCCTTTTACTGTTGTATAGTGTATACATAACACAATTTAAAATATACAGCACCTTTTAAATTATTTTATCAACTATTTTATAAGTTTTTCTAGATTCACAATGTCCTTTGTTTTTTCAATTTTTTTCACTTAATTTGGTTCCACTTCTAAAACTGCGATTTTGTTTTAACTTTTCAGATTTATTATTTTCCGATGACAACGCAATGATATCTCTTTCTAAATTTTGTTAGATATTAAATTACAAATGATTGAAACATTATATTGTTGACCAGGGGGTAGATAACTGGGTAAAGCACGGGCGATCACTCGATCAGTCAGGATACTAAGATGAGGTGTAATTAGGGTTTTCACACCGACCGAATTAATTAATTAATTAATTAATTAGACCCATAAGTAATAAGAACTAAAAAAAGACCACTGGATTTAAATTTCCGGGGAAGGGGGGGGGGGGGGCTGGATATGGGTCTGAGGGCGATATCAAGAGTACCATTAACAACAAAATTATACATTACTGTTATAAAAACATTTCCTGGGTTTAAAGATAGCTATTTTATTTTCTAATCGGTTAGCCGTACCTGCATATTTTTGCAGCAAGTTTTACTTTAAAGAAACTCAAACTTATAAGGTTGGGGATAGGGTTAGGCTTGGGTTAAGGTTAGTGCTAGGTATTAACTTACATTTTAACACTGGGTTAAATCCTTACCTGCCTTCGCTGACTTACCTTCGCTGACTTACCTTGCTGAATTACCTTCACTACTGGTTGACACTACAATATGTTAACACCTATAGCTTGACACTACAATATGTTTACACCTATAGCTTGACACTACAAACTGTTTACACCTATAGGTTGACATACAATATGTTTACACCTATAGCTTGACATACAATATGTTTACACCTATATCTTGACATACAATATGCTTACCTCTATAGCTTGAAATACAATATGTTTACACCTATAGCTTGACATACAATATGTTTACAGCTATAGCTTGACATACAATATTTTAAAAATCCAACTGCTTCAAATAAAACAATCGCTTCATTTAGTCTAATTGTCTTTTTGAAGTGTAGTTTGCATTATGTATTGTATGCAACTGATAGGGAATAGCCTGGCCTAGGGATTGGGTGGCCTAGTGACAAGGTGGCCTTGGGACGGGGTGGCCTAGTAGCCGGGTGGCCTAGGGACAGGGTGAATTTTGACAATGCATTGCTAATTCTATTGTTTTAATGACATTATGTAATGTCTGCTGGACATGATGGATAGACTTTCACTTTCATGTACAGTGTGCTCTGTGATATACACACCTACTCCCCAACCCCCGACACCCCCTTCCGAATCCGAAACTCCTCCAATCCCCTCCCCACTCTTCACTCTGTACACACCAACTCCACCTTCTCATAACACGATAAAAACACGACACGATATTAAACAAAACGACATCTTTCGATACGAGGGAATTCGATACGGAGCCGAACAATACAACCCGATACTATCTAAGGCAACACGATCTGGTACAATCCGATTACAATACAATCCAATGAAATGTACAATTGAATCCAAGGCATTACGATACAAAATACATAACACTGAAATTAAAATATGGGAATCACATTATTTTGAAGAATATTGATTCTTGATTATTTATTAGAAACAATAGCAAAAAAAGGTATTGAAACAAATAGCGGTCATCACTAAGAAAACAGAATAAAGGGAAGTATGGGCAATGTTACAACATAAAAATTAATTTAAGTTACTCTTACACTCTTACAAAACGATAATTCGCCTCAATTCCATTTAACACATTTTAACAAAATGATACCCCCCCCCCACCTCCATACACGCATTCCTTTAATAATGCACTGTTCCTTTCATGAATACTCACATTCCTAGACCCCCCCCCCCATATTTTAAAACCCAACATACCCCAACAAGACCTCATCTCAATGGTTATCAAAATTTAATTAAAATATCATCTAGCTTATAGATTTCTCTCCCCCCCCCCCCCTCAGACCGTGGACTGCTCATGCGTTCAATCAATTCACAACAGATGTCACCGCCATCTGTCCCGGCACTTCTCATATCCCTTCAATAACTACACTGTGATTGGACTGGCAATAACATTTTATTGACCCCCCCCCCACTCTATGTCTCTGTGTGCCAAACCTACACACCTACACGATGAAACGTTTTTGTGTTTTAGAATCGCATTGTTGAGCTCGTGCCATTGATATGCCGCTAATCAACACTGTTAATTGTTGGTAACGCAGAACGTATCAAGGGACATAACCGTGAATATGACAGATACCATCAATAATTATTTCCCTTACCAAACTGCAATGTAAATACAGCTTCAATTTTAAAGTAATTTCGACCAGTTATGTTTCTTTTAGAAACCATCTAGCGGTCATCTTTTGTACAATTACGGTAAAATTGAGCCGAGTATCCACTTTAAAAGCGGAGACCTCAAAATTCTCCCCCCCCTAAATTTTTTTCCACAAACAGCCCTGCTTTGACTATTTAAAAGAGTTTTATTGGTCTCTATTCGACTATTGAAAGGAGTGTTATTGCCACCCCTTCCCCATTTTTCGACTATTGAAAGTGTTTTAGGCTCCCATTCGACCATTTGAAAGGAGCTTTATGGGTCCCTCCCCTTCCCCCCCCCCCCCCCCCCCATTGAACTATACTAATGTCGTTTGAAAGTTTGTCTATTTTTCGCAACAGACTCTTTGTAGAGTTCTTAAATTTTTTCTATGCACCAACGTGGGTTAGTGACTGCAGAACAATCAACGATGTAGTTAAACTAGTAGATATATTTTCAAATATTTTTTTTTACAAAACCACATTCAAGATGAACAAAAAGCTTATAAAGCAATTTTGGACCCTTAAACAGCCTGGTCGTTCAACGGAAAAACTGGAACGAGACATGTGTCTAGACCAACTATTGATGCTGTCTTGTGTCTAGATCAGCTATTGATGCTGTCTTGTGTCTAGACCAACTATTGATGCTGTCTTGTGTCTAGACCAACCAACATATTTGTCTTGTGTCTAGACCAGCTATTGATGCTGTCTTGTGTATAGACCAGCTATTGATGCTGTCTTGTGTCTAGACCATCTATTGATGCTGTCTTGTGTATAGACCAACTATTGATGCTGTCTTGTGTCTAGACCAGCTATTGATGCTGTCTTGTGTCTAGATCAGCTATTGATGCTGTCTAGTGTCTAGACCAGCTATTGATGCTGTCTTGTGTCTAGACCAACTATTGATGCTGTCTTGTGTCTAGACCAACTATTGATGCTGTCTTGTGTCTAGACCAACTATTGATGCTGTCTTGTGTATAGACCAGCTATTGATGCTGTCTCGTGTCTAGACCAACTATTGATGCTGTCTTGTGTCTAGACCAGCTATTGATGCTGTCTTGTGTCTAGACCATCTATTGATGCTGTCTTGTGTCTAGACCAACTATTGATGCTGTCTTGTGTATAGACCAACTATTGATGCTGTCTTGTGTGTAGACCAACTATTGATGCTGTCTTGTGTCTAGACCAACTATTGATGCTGTCTTGTGTCTAGACCAGCTATTAATAGTGTCTTGTGTCTAGACCAGCTATTGATGCTGTCTTGTGTCTAGACCAACTATTGATGCTGTCTTGTGTCTAGACCAACCAACATATTTGTCTTGTGTCTAGACCAGCTATTGATGCTGTCTTGTGTATAGACCAGCTATTGATGCTGTCTTGTGTCTAGACCATCTATTGATGCTGTCTTGTGTCTAGACCAACTATTGATGCTGTCTTGTGTCTAGACCAGCTATTGATGCTGTCTTGTGTATAGACCAACTATTGATGCTGTCTCGTGTCTAGACCAACTATTGATGCTGTCTTGTGTCTAGACCAGCTATTGATGCTGTCTTGTGTCTAGACCATCTATTGATGCTGTCTTGTGTCTAGACCAACTATTGATGCTGTCTTGTGTCTAGACCAGCTATTGATGCTGTCTTGTGTCTAGACCATCTATTGATGCTGTCTTGTGTCTAGACCAGCTATTGATGCTGTCTTGTGTCTAGACCAAATATTAATGCTGTCTTGTGTCTAGACCAACTATTGATGCTGTCTTGTCTCTAGACCAACTATTGATGATGTCTTGTGTCTAGACCAGCTATTGATGCTGTCTTGTGTCTAGACCAACTATTGATGCTGTCTTGTGTCTAGACCAGCTATTGATGCTGTCTTGTGTCTAGACCAACTATTGATGCTGTCTTGTGTCTAGACCAGCTATTGATGCTGTCTTGTGTCTAGACCAACTATT